CACAACAATCTCTCCGGACTTATATCCGCTGCGTTCACTAGCCTAGATCGTCTTCACAGCCTCCGTCTTAGTTATAACGGTTTCATCGGTTCAATCCCTCCGTTTAACCAGTCGTCTCTCAGAATATTTGAAGTCTCCGGAAACAACCTCTCCGGCGCGATTCCAGTGACTCCGACGCTGTTTCGTTTTCCGCCGTCTTCCTTCGCGTTAAACCCTAACCTCTGCGGCGAAATCATCCGCGTGCAATGCCGTCCCGCGCAGCCTTTCTTCGGGCCCGCGGCGCCGCCTTCGGCGGGGCTTGGTCAGAGTGCGCAGGTGCACGGTGTCAGCGGCTTAATCCGCCAGCCGTGCGAGAAGAAGCGGCGCGATCGGCGGGCGGTGATAATCGGATTCTCCGCCGGACTGTTCGTTCTGGTTTGCTCGCTGGGGTGCTTCGCGGCGGCGGTGAGGAAGCAGAGGAGTCGGAGCAGTAAGGACGCGCGGTCTGGCATGATGGCTGCGGATGCAGCGGCGACGGCGGAAGCTGCGGCGGTGATGCGGATGGAGATGGAGAGGGAGTTGGAGGAGAAGGTGAAGAGAGCGGAGGTGGCGAAGAGTGGGAGTTTGGTATTCTGTGCGGGTGAGGCGCAGGTGTATACGCTGGACCAGTTGATGAAGGGTTCCGCGGAGCTTTTAGGGAGAGGGTGTTTGGGAACCACTTACAAGGCGGCTCTTGATAACCGTCTGATGGTGACGGTGAAGCGCCTTGATGCGGGGAAAATGGCTGCGCATGCAACGAAGGAAGTGTTCGAGCGACACATGGAATCCGTTGGTGGGCTTCGACACCCCAACCTGGTTCCTCTTAGGGCCTATTTCCAGGCCAAGCAAGAGAGGCTCATTATCTACGACTTCCAGCCCAATGGCAGTCTCTTCTCCCTCATACACGGTATGGCACCCTTCTCAAACTCACTGAATTGGTGAACGAGTCAAGTTCGCCACACTGACTCGTTCTACCGATTTAAATTTTTTATAATAATAACGATAATATTAAAGTGGATTTGGTTTTTATATATGTATTTTTGATACGAGCAAAATAATCGTGTCGTGGAAAGTTTTTGAAATTCTCTTTCGCATGTGATTACAATTTTTTGGATTTGATAGAGGCTAAGCTTTTCAACCAGCACCGAGAATCTTGCTGACTCGTGACTATGTAGGAATAGGAATTGCTTTTGTGTTATATGTGGATGGTGGGTTATTTAAAGATTGGATGGGAAATTTGAATTAAACAAAGGATGGGTCTATTGGCTACTGAATAGTCTTTTTGAATTGTCTGGTCCGTGTCGTGTAGCGAGCTGTTTTCTAGCACCTTTCTTTTTTTGGGTCCTATGTCTGTGTAAGCAATGAGGACAGATGCTATTACTTGAGGAATGGTTTTTCTTTCTAACACCAGGGAAATAGATAGCAATGGGGTTTTTATTTTTTACTTCATATTTGGATTTTGGCAGTTGGGGGCGGGGTAGCTGTTAATTGCAGTGGCAGATACCTGTTGAATTCAGGACAGATAGATTTTGTTGAAAGGTAAAGATGGGCATTATTATGTGGGAGTGATGATGGTACCAGCATTCATAAACCATTTAATCTTTATAGCCGTTGGACTGGAAAAGATCTGACGTTCTGATTGAGGTGTTTCAAATCACTGAACCATTTTGGCCGTATGCAGGCGGTGGAACCCAAGATAGTCGGTGATTTTGAATTGCTGACGTTTGTCTAATCCTTGTCCTTCTGATGACCCTACCTTTTTTTGCTGCATCTATCGCTTGTGCTGTATTCCTTGGTGAAAATTGCAAGTTCGGTAAAGGGGAACTTCTCTAGATGCCACCAAACTGCATAGAATCAACTACCCACGAGTCAAACTCCAATATTTCTAACTAAAATATTCTTTATTGGTTTTCTGTTAGCATTAGGTTTGATTGTTCTTTTTATTTCCTAATTACTTTGCCAAAATGAGTAATCCTATACCTACCTTAACGAAGTGATTCATGGTCAGACGCATAATTAACTTACATAACATTAAAAGAAGAAATGATGTGGTGATAATTGCTAACTTTTTCTTGCAGGGTCGAGATCAAGCAGGGCAAGGCCATTACACTGGACATCATGCTTAAAAATAGCAGAGGATGTAGCACAAGGTCTGGCCTTCATCCATCAAGCATGGAGACTGGTCCACGGCAATCTCAAGTCCTCCAATGTCCTTCTTGGACCTGATTTCGAGGCATGCATCACTGATTACTGCCTCTCCGTGTTGACACACCCGTCCACATTTGACGAAGATGGGGATTCAGCAGCATACAGAGCTCCGGAGACTCGCAACCCAAATCATCAGCCAACCCACAAATCCGATGTTTATGCCTATGGGATTTTGTTGCTTGAGCTTCTGACGGGGAAATTTCCCTCTGAGCTTCCATTCATGGTTCCTGGGGACATGTCAAGTTGGGTGAGGTCCATCAGGGATGATAATGGGGGCGAAGATAGCCGAATGGACATGCTTCTTCAGGTGGCTACAACTTGTAGCTTGACCTCACCAGAGCAGAGGCCAACTATGTGGCAGGTCTTGAAGATGTTGCAGGAAATCAAAGAGATTGTACTATTGGAGGATAGTAGTGAACTGGAACTGCGCAGTAGTAATGCTATGCCTTAGTCTTATTCTATTTTATTCTTCCAAAAATTTTCGGTTTAATTATGTGATAAACGGTGGATACAAGGACAAAGAGTAGAAAACTGGGGTAAAAAAATTAAGAAAGAAATCCATAAATTATACTTTGTTGTATTCCTTAAATAGACTTTACCATCTTGGTAGATTGTGGAGGGCTCATAACGTCCCATTTTGGGCTTGTATATTGCTGCAGGGTTGTCCAAAAGTGAAGTTTAGAGTAAATATTTCTCATTCCTGTTGTTTAGTTCAATTAAGTTCTCTGCCTGCCATTTTTCCTCTAGTGCACTGCTAAAGCTAGATTTCTAAATTTGAGGACTAAAAAAAATATTTATTCGAAATGATCTAAATGAAGTTTTCTTAATTTAAGAGATTAATTTTTTTTAAAGAATTAAAAAATATTAAACTTTAATTAACTAAAAATATATTTAAGTCTAATATATCTTTTCTTAAATATGTATATATCCTCTTTCACTTTCTTGCTATGGTCTTTTAGTAAAGTAATGTTTTTAAATAACTTTTAATTTTCTCTGATTTTTCTTATGTTTTAGGGAATGTATTTGTTAAAAGTAAAAAATTTGGCCACCAAAGTTTGTGGAGCAATTGTCTCTAAAAAAAAAAAACTAAGCAAAATGATCTTCTTTTAAAGCACGAAGATATATTGGATAACTCACTCCTTTTCATTCCTCTGAATCTATTATATTTTCAATACTTTGAAAAAAAAATACTCAAGGTAGTAAGTAACGTGACAGAATTTTAGAAATCACGTCTCAACAGGCAGTTATGAATTTAAAAGAAAAATCTTATTTGTTACTCCAACAGACAAAGCACAAATACTTATAATATTAAATAAGGATCTAAAAAAACAAATTTAATGTTAAATAAAATTTATAAAATAATCTTATAAAAAAAATGAGCAACAATTTCTTTTAGAATATGTTTTGTACTAAAGACTTGTAGAAGTAATATATAAAAATATACAAAAAATTGATTTACATTCTTGCTTAATATCATGCTATTATCTAAAGAATCCAACCTTTAATATACATGATCAAAATGAGTGATAAGATCTATGGACCTAATGATTACAAAACTTGTTAATTTGATTTTATCTGGTAAGAGTGGAAAATTAAAGTAATTAACAGATCTTAATAGTTGTGAGATAAAAAAGGTTTCTCCCATGGGTTAAGTACATTTCAACACGGTTACTCTAGTCCAACTACACGTTCGAGATATATGCAGTCGCATTTGTATATACCTCTCAAATCTTGTAAATACATGAAATCCTTTTAAATTATTACAATAGAAATCCAAAATATGAAATATTTACTTCAAAAGTATTAAAAAAAGAAAAATCTTGACTAACATTCGTATGTTATCTTTAAAATTTACTAGTAAATTAATTTTTAAAATCACAATTCAATACGTTAGTCCTAGAGTTTCCTTGGTATGAGGGTTACAGCAGCTTATGTTCTTATTATACAATCTGTATGGTAGAATATCTTTCAATACAGCAGCTAATGTTCTTTACACACAATAAGCACTACAGAACTAAAAAACTACACAGGGATTGCCTTCTGTAACAAATGCTACAACGTAGAACCTATCAACAAATCAATTTGCTTAAACACAAGAGGACCGTAAGAGCTTGCAATAAGGAATAAAATACACAATAAGCTTCCCAAGACTTCACAAAAGAATCTTCCCTTTGTTTCTTTTACTGTTAGTATGAACAGACTATTTTCCAAGATATTTTGTCTGTCCAGAATCTACGATTGTCTTCAAGCAAGCGACATCTTCCTTTTCATTATTTGGGTATATATCTCTGTCCAAACATTACATTGCAACATACCTTCAAGATGATCCATATGCACATATTATGGCAAAATTTCCAAGATCTGGACAGCATTATTCAAGACTGACAGGTATATACATTTCTTCAGCAACCAATTATATTACACTGTTGCAAGAAACGATGAATGTCAGATCAATGTATCTTTACCATAAAAAAAAATGTTTGGATAATAATACTCGAGCCATATATAACTAATAATTAGCCCACAATATAGACAAAAATGATGAAGTAGTTGGATATGTATTCGCTCAAAGGATATTGGACGACATAATTTTCAAGACCATACGTTTGACAGTGGTTTGCATGAAAATCTTTTTAAAGAGAAATTTAAAAAAGAAGGGTTACTACTTATTACCTGCCCCTCGTGCTTTGTTATTTCCAATGCCATGTGTCAAGGATAATTCTTGTGGGTCGAAAAATACCGAACCACATGAACCGGGCTGATCCTAAAAAAGATCACCTGATACGTGGCAAAACTTGTGAGCGTGGTTTTGTTTTCATGATCGTCTCATCACTATGTCGTATCCATTCTGAAAGTCTCCATGGTTTTTGCCATTTCCACTTGAATTGTAGCAGCCACTGATGATGACTTCTTTTCCATCTCCATAACTTTCCAGAAGCTTGTCCTACCATTGCTAGTTTTTTCATTGACAGCTGTCCCATGGGTATCATCTGCATTAACAGTAAATTCACAACCGTATCCAATAAAATTCTTAAATCGATTCAAAAGAAGATTAGCTTACCCTTCTACCCTGGTCTACAAATGCTGCTGATTCCCTTACCAAACCATTGGCAATCCCTGGCGTGTATTTTAGCTGTTTAGGCACTGGCATAGACACTGGAGATAAGGGCCCCTTCATGTCTTCAGGATGTTGTTTCAATGGATTTGGGGAGTCCCCCTGTTGAAGTTGAGTGATGATAAATTAAATAGCTAACTACTAGTCAAGGAAGCAATAATTTGAAAACCATTGCTATGATATACAAAAGTAAAAGAATGCAACGAAAAGACTGCTGCAATCACCACAAAATATCAGCTGCAACTCATTACGACAATGATAAGCAGAATCCTAATGGAGGAGACAGTAATGACTCATGATAAACTATGAAGCTATTAGAAAATTCTCAATTATAGTTCAAGTAATGTAACATAATTGTCCTTTGTTACTACTATGTACTATAAACCTTAAAATTAACTTCAATTATTATTAGTAAGGAAGCTCCAAAGGTCTGTTATTCAGGTAGCAGTAGCATCAACGCAGTGTAAGCCTACAGATCAAAGAATCTCATTATTTTGGTTTACTTTGATTTCTGGGTTTGATTCTACTAGTTAAAGAAATTATAGACTTAATATTTGAAGGTACAATGATTAGAATTAGTAGGTTGTTACTTCGATTTCTGATAATTTTGTCAAGGTTTAGAAGGTCATGTATTAAGGTATAGAAGGTTGAGTTAATTTTGGAATTAAAAATAACGAGATGGAAACTTTGGAATTAAGCTTTACACTTGTTTTGTATAACAAAAAATATGGAGTGGCTGATGGTGGAATACAACTTTTCTTTGGCTGTAGCCTAATAATAATTTGTCTCTCCTTGTCCCAAGATGTATGATGAACTAACGACCTTTTATGCGTGATACAGAAGAACTAAAGAACCTAAGGTACGCTGCCCAGGTTAACCAAATTCGCCATAAGCCTAACTTTTTTTCTTCGAATTAATGAGGTGCCTGGATCTGAATTTTGACAGACTGCACTACATTTATTATTATTATTATTTTAAATCCTAGTCCGTTTTGGCTTGAATCTACTTGTACCCATCAAATCCTAAATCCAAAATTTGTAGACTACTTACAGAGGATCAGCACACAAAATCAACAACCAAGCACCAAAGTATAAAGTTCAGGCAGCTGAGACCCTAATTATAGGCTTAGTTTGCAGACGACTCAACAATTTATATATTTATTTTAAACCATATTTGATTTTCGCTTGAATCTATTCTAGAACCCTATCGAATCCTAAATGTAACTTTGCTCTGTTCTCATCCAGGGAGCAGCTGTCAAAATCCATATTTAAGCACCAAAGTATAAAGTTCCAGAATGTCTCCCTAAGCAATCGTACCGAACGTGGTGTAGTCAATGGCTCCCAAAGTAACATTAAGCTTACCGAAGGTGGTGCAGCCAATGTGCTTCCAATAGCTTGCTCTCTCACTTTTAGCTCCTTCTCAACTTCTTTTCTCTTCATCTCACTTTGCCGTAAGAGACCAACAAGTTCTTTTATTTGATCTTTCATTTCCCTGATCTCCATGTCCTTCTCCCAGAGTTGGCACCTATTGTCAAAACAGGAACTCATGCTTCAAATTTCAACGGTATACAGTACCACATATGGCAATGTCACCATAAAATACTCAATCAAATATTCAAGTTTATATTAACATGAGTTTTGACGGCATATACTCCACTTGTTTGGTTATCTTACTTCTAAAGAATAGAAAGAAATGCTCTAAAAGATAGAAAAGATCCAGGTCAAAGCACCTAGCATCTGCAACAGAATTAAACATATATTGAAGTAAATTCTTGGCTTCTCCCATTGAGCGCAATTGATTCCAGCGTCCACGATTAGAGAAGGCCCGTTCTCGTTCTTCTGCCTCAGAAAGTTGAGAAGCCATTGCGACAAGCGAATTAGATGATATACTCAGCATGTTCTCAAGTGAAGCTATTCTAGCCATTCTTGCATTTGGTGACATGGAGGATGCCCTGGGAAAGACAATTTTAAAAGCAATCAGGAAAACAGATGTTATCCTTCATATATTCGATGCATCATTACCTCAAAGATCCAATATTTTTTTAGAACTTAAGAGGAAGCATCAAATTAAATTAGTTTATTTCAAAAAGGAAAAATTACCTGGCAAATCCATTCTTTCTTGGTGGACTGAGACCCTTTGCAGCAAACTCATTTACTTGCTTCAGCATGGCTAATTCCTCTGCAAGGGCAGCTCGCCTGAACATTACATCATAAAATTATAGACTACCCAATAGATCAATCGGGAAGAAAAATAAGTACTGAACGTGTGTTACATACACTTGGCTCTGTTTCTCGTACTCAAAACGGACTTCATGCTCTTTTACCATGACTTCTAGTTCATGATCAAGCCACCGTTGTAAAGACTTCTCATTGCTCTAAAGATGAAGCTCAAAAACTTTGTTAAGACCATTTAATTTTAAATCAAATCGAAGAGAAGGAAGGAGAGTTCATTACCTGACCATTTGTTCCACTTCCATTCATTGTAACTGAAATATGAAAAAAAAAAATTAGAATATTAACAAAAAGGTAAATGCAATGATGCCACCATGCAATTCATTAAAAGACAGCCTCTTCTATTCAAGACATTTTAAAAACACATCCATACTGGTGAAAATATAAAATTGTTAAAAGTAAGCATCGCTGTCTATATAAAAGAATCACACCTGAAGTCTCTCGGCTGGAAGTTTTACGTGCTTCTAACAACTCCTTTAACCTCTTGGTGGCCATAGCAGCTTCTTCAGTTTTTCTCTGAAGTACCTGAAAGATTTACACATTTATTTAATAGAAGCAGTTAATATCCGTCTCGACAATCACAAAAGTCAACTTCAACATAATTTTGAAGGATGTATTTTCCACATGTCTATTCGAATTTAGCTTCTCAAATCACGAAATAGAAAAATGTTTTATTCAACTTAAAAAAGAATTAACTTTCTGCATATTTTACATCTTCTGCTGGAGTACACTATACATATGCTATTTAAAGAATAAGTAAACACTTAAGAAATGAATGCATTTAACTTCATTTGTAAGCATGATTATTTTTGGGGAAAACCTTTTGAAAGATAGTACGTCAGTTTCCTAAATCCACTTAATTTTATCTATCTCACATCTAATCTATCTTGAATAATATGGTGCAAATAACTATTGATTAAATTAGCTGGCGTAATATCATGCAACAGTAATGTGGTTACAATGGTAATTCACATACAACACAATTTTAGTCACCTCTAAATTGACCATATCAAACATCCTGCGGTTCAAGAATCAAGAGTTCAATATACCATTTTTTGTCCATTAACACATGCGGCAAAGAGTCCCCAAACTCCCTGCTAAATAAAGCCACTGGGTAGGGGGGAATACCATGACCCTCCAGTTTCCTCCTTTTTGATATTTATCCATAGTGTAAACAAGATCATCATTCTTGAAGATTAAAAATTATAAATAATTTGAAGTAAGCAACTTTCTCAATATCAAAGTTAATAGCGAATATATTGCTAAAACATAGGCATGCTTTTTAAATACTTGCTGGACTAAATGTTGCAGGTAGCATCAATTGTCCTGTGACGAAGGTCAGGTGGGCCGGGTCACAATTGAATCGTGGCGCTTGGGCTGTTAAAGTAAAAAGAGTTGCGCTCTGACTAATGGCTATAGCTTTTGGCCTAGTGGTAAGCGCTCGATCCTAACAATTGGTATCAAGAGCCAATTTTCTTAGTATGCTCTGTGGTTGCAGCTTTGTCTGATCTTCCACATCAGAAAAGATTTGGTCTTTTTTCTTGGGAATCTCAGCTTAGAGAAGCAGTGGGAGCTTTCTTCGAAAGCAGTGAGAGCAATGGCATTGGAAGAAGGAAAGGTGAGGATCGAGAAGTTCGATGGCGGTGACTTCGGGTTCGGAAGATGCAGATGGAAGATTATCCGTATCGGAAGAAGTTGTATCTACCCTTGACAGGCAGAAGCCAACCGACATGGAGCAATCAGAATGGGAGTTGTTAGATCGGCAGACGCTTGGTGTGATCCGGCTGACATTAGCCAAGAATGTTGCGTTCAACATCATGAACGAGAAGACAACCGTAGATTTGATGCAGGCGTTGTCAAATATGTATGAGAAGCCCTCTGCAGCCAATAAAGTGCATTTGATTCGCAGGCTAGTCAACCTCAAAATGGGTGAAGGTAACTCGGTTACTAATCATATTAGTGAATTTAATGCAATTATTGCGCAGTTGACATCAGTACGAGATAATATTTGATGATGAGGTGAAAGCATTAATTTTATTATCATCTCTACCGGAAAGTTGGGGTGCAACTCGTCACTGCAGTAAGTAATTCCGCAAGCAATAACAAGTTGAAGCTTGATAACATCCGTGACTTGATCTTAAGCGAAGATGTTCGCAGGAAAAATTCGATGAGAATCTTTCAGTTCTAATTCAAGTTCAGCATTGAGTACTGAAACTAGAGGAAGAAGTCGCTGAAAGGTCGTAATCAAGGCCGAGGCAGATCAAAATCCAGAGGGAGATCACAAGCAAAAGTCCGGAATGATATCACTTGTTGGAATTGTCGAAAAAAGGCCACTTTTCAAATCGAGTGTAGGGCTCCAAAGAAGGACAACAACAACAACAAGAAGCAAGATGATGATCAATCGAGCAAATGCAACGAACTGATGAAGTTGAAGATGCACTCGTTATGTAGTTTAGATAATTCTATTGACTCATGGATTATGGACTCAGGTGCGTCATTTCATACTACACCTTCCTTAGAACTATTATCTAACTATGTTTCTGGAAAGTTTGGGAAGGTCTACCTTGCGAGATGGAAAATCTCTTGATATCATAGGAAGAGGTGATATTAACATCGGAACCTCTAATGGAAACGTGTGGACTTTGAATAATGTCAGACATATTCCAACCTTAAAGAGAAACTTAATATCTATAGGGCGGTTGGATGATGAGGGACATTACACCACTTTTGGAGATGGACATTGGAAGGTAATGAAAGGTAATCTTGTTGTTGCTCGTGGAAAGAAGCAAGGATCTCTCTACATGATTGCAGATGAGGATATGATATCGATCTGCAGAAGTTGGCAACAATTCCTCCTTATGGCATCGGAGGCTTGGGCATATGAGTGAGAAAGGAATGAAGCTCATGATATCAAAAGGTAAAATACCTAACGTGAAGCATGTTGACGTTGGACCTTGCGAACATTGTATCTTTGGAAAGCGAGAAAAAGGTTAGCTTCTCCAAAACAAGTAAGTCGTCTAAAGTTGAAAGACTAGAACTAGTGCATACGAGATGTTTGGGGACCAGCTTCAGTGAAATCCCTTGGAGGTTCACAATATTATGTAACCTTCATTGATGACTCTACAAGAAAGGTATGGGTTTATTTTCTTAAAAATAAATCTGATGTGTTTTCTGTGTTTAAAAGGTGGAAAAAGGAGGTTGAGACTCAAACAGGTTTAAAGGTCAAATGTTTGAAGTCTCGATAATGGTGGAGAATATGACAGTGAGTCAATTCAAGGAGTTTTGTTCGAGAGAATGGGATCAGAATGATCAAGACAGTTCCAGGAACACCAGAACAAAACGGTGTGGCAGAAAGAATGAACAGAACCTTGAATGAGAGAGCAAGATGTATGAGAATCCAGATCAGGATTACCCAAGGTATTTTGGGCAGATGCAATAAGCACAGCAGCCTATCTCATAAACAGAGGACCATCAGTTCCTTTAGACTATAAGTTACCCGAAGAAGTATGGTCTAGAAAAGAGGTAAATCTTTCACATCCGAAAGTTTTTGGTTGTGCTTCATATGTTATGTTAGACTCTAATAGTAGAGATAAATTGGACCCTAAGGCAAAACGTTGTTATTTCATTGGTTATGGATCTGACATGTTTGGCTACGAGGTTTTGGGATGACCAAAACAAGAAAATTATCGAAGTAGAAATGTTACTTTTAATGAAAACATGTTCTATAGAGACAGGATTGCAGAATCCGCAAATGTAAATAAACAACTAGAGCAAGTATCATTAGAAGAAATTTCAGAAAGTGATGTAGTCAACCGAAGGCAGAATATACAAGTAGAGCCTATGTCGAGCCTCGAGACGGAACCTCGAACAAATAGTAGAGTCGAGAACTCCTGAAATCTTGGTTAGAAGATCTAGCAAAACAATTGTAGCACCACAAAGGTATTCCCCTTCATTGCATTATTTGTTGTTGACTCGATGTCGGTGAGCCGGAGCATTTTGCTGAGGCTATGCAGGGAGATGAATCTATTAAGTGGGAGCTAGCAATGGAAGATGAGATAAAGTCCCTTCAGAAGAATAAAACATGGTCTTTAACCAAGCTACCAGAAGGAAAGAAAGTTTTGCAAAACAGGTGGGTCTATAGGTTGAAAGAAGAACCAGATGGCAAGAAAAGATATAAGGCTAGACTCGTAGTGAAAGGGTTCCAACAAAGACAAGGAATTGACTTCACAGAAATTTTCTCTCCTGTTGTCAAGATGACTACCATCGAGTTATCTTGAGTATAGTAGCTGTAGAAAATCTTCATTTGGAGCAGCTTAGATGTCAAAACCGCATTCTTACATGGGGATCTTGAAGAGGAAATTTTTATGACACAGACCAAAAGGTTTTGAAGTACAAGGCGGAGAAAATCTTGTATGCAAGCTTCATAAAAGTTTGTACGGATTAAAACAAGCGCCGAGACAATGGTACAAGAAGTTTAATGAGTTTATGAGAAACTCGAGATTTCGCAGATGTGAAGAAGATCACTGTTGTTATGTGAAGAAATATGTTGATAGCTATATCATTCTTGCCTTATATGTTGACGACATGTTGATTGTTGGAGCTAATATGGCAGAAATTGACAAGTTGAAGAAACAATTGTCAGAGAGCTTTGAAATGAAGGATCTTGGTCCAGCCAAGCAAATTCTTGGTATGAGAATCTCCCGAGATAGAGATAAAGGTATTTTGAACTTATCTCAAGAAAAATATATAGAAAAATTGCTTAGCAGATTCAATGTTGGGAATGCTAAAACCAGGAATACACCTTTGGGAACTCACTTAAAGTTTTCAAAGAGGCAATCTTCTCAAACGAAGAAGAAGAAAGTCACATGTCTAAAGTGCCATATGCATCTGCAGTAGGAAGCTTGATGTATGCTATGGTTTGCACTGGACTGGACATAGCACATGCAAGTGGGAGTTGTGAGCAGATTTCTATCAAATCCCGGAAAGGAGCATTGGGAAGGAGTGAAGTGGATATTCGGATATTTGAAAGGCACTTCAAAGATGCATTTGTCTTTCAAGAGAAGTAATCTCATTTTACAGGGGTTTTTTGATGCGGACTTGGGAGGTGATCTTGACGGTAGAAAGAGCACAACAGAGTTATATTTTTACATTGGGTGGTACAGCTATCGGTTGGAAGTCTAAACTTCAAGGAAGGATCTCTCTCAACCACTCGAAGCGAGTATGTAGCTATCTCGGAAGCGGCGAAGGAGATGATATGGTTGAAGAACCTTCTAAAAGAATTAGGAAGAGAACAAGATGGTTCTCCGTTGTTTAGTGACAAGTCAAAGTGCTATTTGTCTTGCTAAAAATCCAATCCTTCATTCCGAGATGTAAGCACATTGAATTGAAGTATCATTTTATCGAAACCCGATAAATGATGGAGACTTGAGTTTGTTGAAGATTCCAGGTGCAGAGAATCCCGCTGATATGTTGACCAAGATCTGTTACAACAACTAAGTTGAGGCTTTGCATTGCCTCAACTGGCCTTCGAGCAAATTGATGATGAAGGCACTACACTAGGTGGTAACGTAAATCAAACTCCAAGTGGGAGAATTGTTAGTATTATGGTGCTTGATTTAGTCCCACATCGATTAGGATTGTGAGATGATGTTCTCTATTTTGTTATATAAGCAACCCTATGTAAAGTTTGAGATACACACAGAAATAAAATTACTTCCTAGTGTAGTCGTGGACGTAGGCATACATATTTTAGCCGAACCACGTTAAAATTCTTGTGTCGTTTATTTTTCTCTCCTTCATTCTTTCTTTTATTATTGTCTTGTTCCTAACAATTGGTATCATTGGGCTGTTAAAGTAAAAAGAGTTGCGCTCTGACTAATGGCTATAGCTTTTGGCCTAGTGGTAAGCGCTCGATCCTAACACTAAATGCTTAGGGGAGGCCTGTGCATAAATGCTTAAAAATCACTCCAATTTAAAAATATTAGCAAAACTCAATTCCACATCGCATATGAGACTAATTTTAAAATCTAAAGCAAAACTATTATCTAAAATATAGCAGCAATGAAACAACTTAGAAATACTTGCCAATTTCTGCCGCTGATTTAAAGCTTGCAGCTTGTGTCTTTCATACTCATTTCTTCTTCCCTCCTTCTTTAACTGTTTTGCACAGGCAAAGTGATCAATTATCGTGTTACAGTAACTATATCAAGTGAAAATAACATGGCCTCTACATCCAACTTCTTTATTTGTTATTTGCAAGCTTTGGAGTAGTCAGGACCCAAACTTTGAATAATGGATGATTTCATGTTTATTATTTTACCAAGAAACATTAAATTGACAATGACGAAAATATTTCACTTAATAAAGCATCTTAAGATGTTTAGAAATAGAATGAACAAATTCAATTAATTGAAAAAGAGAAAGCTTGTCATACTTGCAACAACTCTTTCTCTCTTGAAGCCTTCCACTGCCGAAACTGTTCTGCTTCTTGTTTTATCCTTTGCTGCAATTGAACCTGAAACATTCTACAGTTTATTACAGAGATAATATATGAAGCAATTTTTTACAACCATGATTTGAAGAAATATAGCAGTCAACCTTTTGGGCCTTTATACACTGTATTTCATCTTGCAGTCTCTTTGCTGCTTCATCACTTTTTTGCTTTTGCTTCAGAAGCTGGACCTGACTCTCTTGCTTTTTCTTCAGATCCAGAATCTAACAGGCAGGGTTTTGAAATTTTTTTTTTGTAGTTTAGAATATCTTCCAATTTAAAGTTAAATATGAATCCGAAAATAAATTTAAATTTTAATACAAAAATTGAGAATGAGGCACCTGTGCTTCAAGTGCTTTCAATTTTTGGGCATGAATATCCTCTAATTTCTGTGTTTGTCCATCAGAATTGGCAGCAAGATTTTCAACTTCAGCCAAAAGACAATCTCTCTCTCGCTGCATTCATAAATCAAGTGCATGAATGAATACTAATTTTTTTGCAGTGTCAAATAAATTTTCATTACTTATATAGAACCTGCACTACTCTCTTCTCATCTTCCAATTCCATTATCTTTCTTCCAAAATGTTGCTTGAGTACTTCAGCATCAGATATTCCAAAAAGCTTCATCTCAGACTGTGCAGACATGGATACAACTAATAAAATGAGACAGGAGAAAATATGAAAGAAATTTCTATGAGAATCTAACTATAATGTTTGTAAAAAAACCATTATACCGCTTTAGTGATATGTTTTTGCTTCGTTCTCTTGTTAAATTATTAAGTTCCCGCATGATAAATAGTCTGATAATTTTCAGTAGCACATCAACCTTAAGAAGATACGTGCCTATGTTACAAAAACAAAATGGATGCGAGTATAAAACAAGTGAACACCATATCAAGCATCGGAAATAACTTTCTCACAATAAGGTTCATAAAATTATAGAAAAGAAGTTGCTCATGTTTGTGTTGATTTTAATGCACTATTGATTGATGCATATTGTGTCATGGGGTATGTATATATTACACATATGCACTGCAACAACCTCTTTCTGCTGCAAACGTTTATTCAATTCATGCAACTCTCTATCCATACTATTCTGCAGAAGTGTGTGCTCCCACTCTTTTGTTACTTCTTCAATTTCCCTTGAATCACCTGCTGAAATGGCAATGAATCATTGCAGTTCAAATCACATTTCATTAAAATAGCAGTATCAAGACGTTTTTAGAAAGGTCAAAGAGGCTCACCCACTGTTTCACTCATTGGATACTCAGCTTCTATGATAGGTAAGCTCCTCTTAATTGCATCAGTCTTCACAATGTATGTGTTACCATCCTGGAAAACAGTTTTAAACCACGCATGCATACATTACCAAGCCAATATCCTGAACTGACTTTATTAAGTTGACTGTAAATATCAAGATGAAATGAAAGGACAAACATAGGCATCAAAACAGAAACGGAGGAAAATATCCTTAGTAGAAGATGAATATTGACAGAAAGTAATACAAAGCAAGAGACATACATAAGCTTCCCTTTCACCTGGTTCTACAATAGAGCATCTACTACGGTATTCATGAAGTTCACGGCAAAGATCTTCATTAGCAGCTTCAAGCCAAGCTATCCTTTCCTTAAGGACCTACGTAATCAGTTATAAGATGATTATATATTTACGATAAACACAAATTATTTCAATGCTACTATTATCCCATAATAGGAAGTATATTGAAGAATCAAGACATCACTTAAAATTCAAATTAATTGGATCGAACTACCTGAACTTCTTCAGAAGAACCACCAGCTCGAGCACAAAGTTCTGCCTGCAAATACTCTAGTTGTTGTCGCATTTTTAACATCTCATTGGACATGGGATCTCTATTGATCTACAGAATAATCAACAAGCAAACATAAATCAAAACAAAATTATCTCAAAATTTCCAAATGAAAGTCAGGGAACAGAAAAAATTAAGCAGATACTTACAACAGGTTTATTTTGGATATTGCGTGCACGATTGGCGTACTTCAAAGTGTTAAGGGTTTCCTCAGCATTAATATCAGCAGGACTTATGCAGGCTGACATAGAAATATCGTTTTACATAAGATGAAAAAAATAATTAACAGCAGCTTGTATTAAATGCAACATGAAAGGTTTGGCCGGAACCAGTAAAACAGAACAAAGCATCATAATTCTTGACATCAATCATTTATTACCAGAGAAGATGCAAGAAGTTCAGATCTCCTAAAAAATAATTATTTCCCCCGTAGGGAAAAAGTTTGAGAATGGAAAATATAAAATGAATAGTTTGTGTTATCATGAAATTTTTTAATACATTTATAACATATCAAGCCTCCCTTGTACTTTTGTTCATAAGAAAGACCAAATTGTATTCATGAATGTTAAAATTTAAGATTTTAAAGAGGCTAAAAATCAGATTGGTATTTTGATCAGCATCCTCAAGATTAGAAATGTTTATTTGAAAGCTAAATGCAACTCAGGGGACCCAAGAACTATAGACTTTATAGGAATACAAGAAAGTAAGAGACAACTAACCAATCATGACAGTTCTGCTGTTACCTCCTAGTGAATCCTGCAAAATCATTTAACTTATCTATAAATATAAATTAATTAAACTAAAAATATCAATGAAAGAAAAATAAAATACAAAATATTTCATATACATATTTACTATTTTATACTCTCTTCTTTTATTAGCAATAATTATTTCATATTCACATAGGCAAGTAATATTTCAGTTGACAATAACCCAACATAATTTTTTGATACAAAAGGATATGTTTATCTTTGAAATTGGTCTTAGGGCCTAACTCAATAAGCTCTTTTACCATATTAAAAGATAGAAAAACATATCCAAGAGATCTTGAGACTAGTTCTGATACTATCTTGAAAACAAGGTTTGGGCCTAACTCAAGCCACTTGATCGGTTACCCTCCACTTATATATATATATAATACTTAGGTAATACTACTAGTCGTGACATCTCCAAGATAAACCTGAAACCTCTCACACACCGAGGACTAAAAATATAATTGATAGGCCCATAAAAATAGGGCCTCCAATCAATGTGTATAGGAGAAGGGAAGGAATAGGGACATAACTTACAAATTCTCAATTCTGTTAAGGGAGGAAGTGTAGGGATCCAACAAAATGAACATTTATCATAAGAACATTGCAGTGGAGGTGCTTTGAATCATGCAAGGGAACGTGAATATGAAAAGAATGAGGAGGAGCTAGAGGAAGGGGGTTGATTTTTGAGGAAAAGGTTTGGGGTGTTGACAGAGGAGCCTTCTTAGATATACTTTCTTTTTACACAATTTCCTTTCTGCAGTATTTGTTTATAAGCACATGCTCTTCCTATGGAATTATATGTTGATGTTTTTTGGAGAACTTACAAATAGAGTGCACGCTGATTATTATACAAACAAACTACCGTATACTTCATAATAAAGAAAAGTGAGTACAGGAAAACGGAAGGTATATATATAAAGATATCAAACCTGCAAAAGCCTAGTAAGTTTACTATCCCTATAAGGAACATGAACGCCTTCCTTTCGCTTCTTTTCATCACCAAGAGCACTAATAACATTTCCAAGTGCTAGAAGGCCTTTGTTAATGTGAACTCCTGTTTGAAAGATTGAATGACTAGTGAGTATGTTTTCTCAAAAAGCTTACTTAAAGGATAAAGGTGAAAAAATGTCCCTAACTTACCTTCCTTAAAACGCAGACCATCAGACCCTGTTCTTTTAGCTCGTTCTGATCCAGCAAGATCAACTAGGTGCAACTTGGCACAAAGATACTCTTCATTCATGGTATCATTTAAACCGCTATCACCAGGAACATTCAGCTTTCGCATTTGTTCCAGTGTGATGGTGAAGATGGCATGAGATCGACTAGATGGCACAAAAAGAAGAATAAGTAACAGAACTGCAGCTGAATAAACGGTAACAGAAGTTTGAGACAACATTTTTATCATGGACTAGTACCAGCAAGTAAATTGCTGGACGATTCCTTGCAAAAATCATTAGTTTATGAGATGATGTAAAATGCTTTTAAACTATCATTCAATCTCATACTTATAATAAGCTTATTGGCTTTTAAAGTAACTCTTTAAAAGTTATAAAAACGATAATTTTTGTTTGATTGACAGACTCAAATTTTTTACACTTAGTGCATAGAAATTAAACTAATTAGTTATTCACTAATAATCAGAAATCCCGAAAATAAAAAATTACTTACATATTTTAAAGTCAACCTCACTTGAGATGCTTAAAAACAGCCAGTACAGTTTAAAACATAGAGATGTTAAAGGTATATCAAATTTCATCAGTTATTTATTTATTTATTTCTGTTAGTTATTGGGTAGTTCACAGAAGAGAAGAAAAAATAATTGTCAACCTAGATTGGTTGTTCATATTTGTGCTCCCAGTTGCCCTGCTCAATGATCCCTGTTCCAGGCAAGCAGCCATTTCTTTTAGTGTTGTTACACTGAGTTCAGTAGATCCTGCAAGGGTGATAACACCGTTTGATGTCTCACGAATTTGTATTGGTGGCTTCCCAGGAGAGGTCATTTTTCCTGAATGTCCATTTGCAGTTTCTGGTTTGCTCATGGAGGAGGGATCCAGCAAGTCTCTTACTTCTTCTTTAAGAATCTTTGCACAATAAAGATTATTGTTACATACTTAATCTAAAAGTTTTTGCACATTCAAATTTATTAGCTTCATATACTAAAGAACAATCAAACTATGAAAACCATATCAAACAGTAACGAACTGATCAACAAACCTCAATAAAAGACACATGCAACTGAAAATCAATTTGGTGCTTTAGGGTCTCAATTTTGCTAAACAAAACATTCATAACTTGAGGTATTATTCCCGTTTGACAACCATCTTTAAAGCCAGTTCCCATGGTGTACGTTTTCCCAGAACCTGTCTGCAGTAGAGTGAAAGTGTAAAATAAGAGACCATTGTAGTGGCATGTAACTTCTGTTCACTTTATCAGTAACTATACCTGACCATATGCCAGAACAGTACCATTATATCCTTGAAACAAACCATCAACAAGGGGAGCAGCACATTCTTCGAACATGGCACTTGAGGGGGAACCAGTGCTTCCATAAACATGATCAAATGTAAAGGAGTGGGGACCAATTTGTACCTGTATTATGGTGACAATTAGCATATGATTCCCCAGCCAAATTTTTAGCTACTTAAAATATATTATTAATGGGTTCATTTTCGGATATAGGAGTCCCAACGTAAAATAAGCCATACGCAATCTGCATCCATGCAAATATGCAAGTTACCCGAAAAATATACTGAACGCTAGCTTTCTCTGACAATAAGAGAATGACTAACAGATTTCAGTTGGAGATAAAAAATATCAACTGTAATGGCTTTATCAAGAAGAAGAAGACGAGTTATGACCAATTATTACAAAGGGAAAATGATGATAATATCTGACGCGATTCAAACTGTACAATTTTAACATTAGAAACCGACAAAAAATGGCAAAAATAATGCAGCAAGCAATGGAACCAAAGTCCAGTTGATACAGAGAAACTGAAGAGCTATTTTCATTTACTAAATCTCCCTGCCCTAGCTAAAATGAATCATGTTCAATTAGTGTACCTTTGCAAACTTGTGTGGAATGATTGGTGAATTATTACCATATTATATATATATATATATATATATATATATATATATATATATATATATATTATTTGTGTGTGTGTGTTAACTGTTCAAAACACTGCATCAAGTAGCTGACGGGCTATATGAATCGTACGAAAGAAAAAGTGACACTGCAAAACTGGTAAAAGCCTTCTTCTCCTTCTATCGTTGAAAATACTAGATGAAAATTATAGCTTCCAAAAACAAACCCATGTCTATTTCCCCAAACAACGTTTCAGAAACTTACAAGTCAAGCCTAGGCTAGAATGTCAGAAGTCAGATATAGACACAAGTCAAATATCTAAATTAGGTAAGTATGTCAGATCACAAACAAAAGTGATTCCAATTCCAAACTCTACAACGCATGTTTAGTTACGTAAGCAGTTTCGGATCCAGATCTCTGGCAGAAGAGGAAAATAGTAGCTAGAATGCGGAACTGAAACAGTGTCGATAGTCAACGACAATGCGCTTCGGTTCGTTTTCATATTCGCCTATAACGAAGGTTAAACGACACTGTTGAGCTGAGAGTGAGTAAGGAAGTGCACCTGCGGCTTCCCAGAAACGACGGTGACGCAGTCTTTGCATCCTTGAAGCTTCTCATCGGCGATGAGTGGTCGAACATGAACCGCGACCTTGACGCAGCAATCTTCCCCTGCTTCCATGGGGAAGCGGCGTAGTAACAGAGAGACGCAGAAGGAGAGTGAATCGAAGATGAATTCGGTTGCACAGAAAGAAAGTGTGAAGCAGAGAGAGAGTGTGTGTGCGTTCTCCGACAATGCTAGAGAGAGAAAGTAATATAATTAGAAGTGGTGAGAGAGGGCGTGTGGGAAAAAGGGTAGTTGTGGAAACGAAAGGGTCTCATAAGCGAGCCGCGCCAGGCATCTGTAAGAACAACAACCACCATCATTTTCCCTTCACCTTCACTGCATTGTGGTCGCGTGCTTTCAACCTTTTCTCACCTTCTTTCCCAATTTACCCCTCCTCAACGACCCTGCACAACTGTACTCCCGCATCAAAGTTTCTCTTCCCGCATTTACCATTTTACCCATACCCTCTTTTTCTTGATGAGCAAACAATCATTTTAATGTATGAAAGTGTATTTAATTGTCTCATTAATACATCAAACTGAAAAGCTATCAAATAAATATCTCAAAAGTATAATTTGTTAATATTAATTGGTATTTAAAAAATATAAAACAGTGTATTACATTTAAGAACCTAAAATAACGGTTTGCTCTTCACTTAACATGTTTTTCATTCATAGTTTAATGTTACAAGGAAGCAATTTTTGATACATTCTGCAGATATATTCATTTCACAAACTTACCTTTTTTATTAAATGTTCTTCCGTTCACATTAATATAGCAATCAAATACCTACTTATATAACAAAGAGAAATGATTACCCGCATACATATTGCCATAAAAATTGTGTTGTCATTTAACTAAACAGTGGTATTTTTTTATAGCTCTATCTTTACTTTTGAAAAAGTTACAAAAAAAATATTCGACGTGGTCCAAAATTTAGAAAAATGGTGGATGAATTCACCTAATTTCTTGTATTGAAAAAAAAAAAGGCAAATGAAAGGAGCAGGGCTTGAAAAAGAGGAAGTTAGAGAAAATGGAACAAAGCTAACGTAATCTAGTTGGGATGTGGATTTGAGAACAAAGGTAGGAAAAGGAATAACGCAACGCACAAAGCCACGTGACGCGGAACCACATACAGACACCATTATGAAGAGAAAGGAGGGAGGTTTGCGTCTTTGACGGTACCCAGTCATCGTCACTCACGTCCACATTTCACAGGTGACATAGTATTTCTTATTGCTTCCTCTTTTCTTTTCTTTCTCCCACACTGTCTGCTGCATGTGTGCACATATCTCGTCAAAACATTCTATTGCTTTTATCTTCTCATTCTACTCCCACTCACTTATGTTATGCCCCCAAATTTTGCTTAGGTATTCTCTGGGTATATGTAAGTCATCTACATGTTATGCTACATTCTTTATTCATCAAGTTATTTCAAATTGAAAGTGTGAAAAATTGATTTAAAAAATACTTAATATGACTATTGGTAGGTAAGTATAAAGTTGCGTTAAAATCATATTATAAGAGGAAATGTAAAAATATTTTAGGAAAACATTATTGGTAGGTAATGTTATATTGTGAAAATGTGCGCTTAATTTTATTTTATTTTATTTCCGATCCGGGGTAAAGCAAGAGTATAATGTAAAAGGTTTGAATTTGGATAACACATTGGGCAGATCCAGCTGGGTAAGTGTCCTCCATCACATGGCACAAAGCTAAGCTTCAATAATATGGTGGGGTCCACTTGAGAGACTGTGACGGACCCCACAATCTGTGGCAGTGGCAGCTCATAAATTCATCTTTGTAGTATGCCACTTTAAGCATGGTATCACCCCCTTCCCTGTCACCCTCAACCCTAATACCTGTAAAACCAGCTCATTTTCTCACCCTTAATTATTCTACACGTACCCCTCAACTCGACAAATACATACTCAAAAAATACAATACAATCAGTCACCCACACCATCAAAATTCCAACGCTCCTGTCCCAACGCCGACCAATATCAATTTTTAGTCATATAACGTCTACGTCGCTTTTATTTGTATATATCTTCCTTCCTACGCTACGTTTCAACGGAGGAAGAAAATGAGAGACACAAAATAAATAAAATTGAGTACATTATATTCACAACTCAAATTTTGTTGCTGCTTCATGATATTCCCTTTATGTTCACTCACATGGTCTTCCCAAGTGGAAAAATATATCATTTTCATCAAACAACTGAGGAACGTACTATATAACTCTTCTGATTAATGTTAAAAATTGTTGTTGAGTGCCTGGTTTATCTGTAAGAATGGATTTCCCATGTATAGAAGTATAAGATACGCGATGTTTAAGTTTTATATTTCTCTTTTTTTTACTATTAAATAAGTGTTGGTATAAAAACAACATTAAACTAAAAGGAAAAATGTCTTTATATTTGACATTTATTTTGTTTATATATGATTACAAAAAAAAAACTTTTGCTCTGATCACAAACAAAAGTTGTCGACGATTCAGTTGTTAGACTTGATTTTTTGCTCTTCAAAACATTTTCTCTTTATTATAGTCCTTATAAGAAAAACTTTACTGTACATTTTGATGCTTATATAAAAAATCATTTTGTCCTCTATAATCTATTTATTTTTTATTTTAATGATTACATAAAAATTGTGTAACATTATTTGTTTGTCATTTTTTTCCCAATTGACCACTATAAGCAATGCAAGTGCCTCCCCCCCAACAAACACAATCCTACTTTCACCGTCTTTTGCTTATTTTGTTGTTTTCAGTACTAGAAATTCAACGAAATTATCTGCTCAATGTATGAATGTCTGAAGTTTTCATATTTGAATCCATATATATCATTCGTAGTGTGGTTATTTAGATTTTTTTTTTTGAAATATCTTTAATTTAGAGTATAAAAATATTTGTGAAATTCAATTATTATAAAAAAAATATTTGATGGAAGTTTGAATGAAATAGTTAAATATGATCCAATCACTAAGATATTTAATTCAACATAATTAGAGTTTCCCTTTAATACCATCTTTAAGATACCTAAATCAAGATGAGAATTATAATATCAGATTATTATTATAAAATTATTATCTAGTCGATAAACACCGTCTATTTTATTTGATTTGATGTTCATAACACATTTTCCTGATTGAATGATTCGATGTTCATACATTCATCCCCATTTTCTCCCTCAGAGACCACATATCTGATATTCCATTAAATTTTCTGCTACAAATTAAATGAACAAGTTCATTGCGCACATAGTAGTATTCTGTCTCTATATGAATAACGCATGTCATCCTCGTCTTGCTGAGGTGGGAGTAATTAATTCAGATTGTGATAACCGGTGGACCATTAAGAGCATTTGAAAAGCAGATCAAGAAAGATAGTTGCATGGGGGTACTGACAGGTTTCACCTCTTAATGACTGTTGAGTCCAGTTTGATGGCATTTGACATATATGCGTGAGTCCACACACACTCAGCTTGCTTTCTGATGCTTATTATCATTTAACCATCTCAACTTGTTTCCACCAATATGAATTTTGACACTGCATATTCACCTACTGATATAATTTTGTTGTTTTAGAGATGCTTGAGGGTAATTGATAATGTATTTATACATTGAATTGCTATTCAGCAATCAATTTGTACTGAATGTGAGCAGATAGAGACTAAAATAATCATTATCACGAAGCGGCTTAATCAAAGCTTCCAATGAACCGCATGATTGTGTTGGTGAGTGTCTTTTACATTTTTCAGCATATGAGATAATCAAATTACTTCAAATAGATACTTTTGAAAAATGTACTTATGCAATAAATTTTGTTTAGTACTGATAAAATAGTTTGCTGTAGTTGTAGCTTAGGCCTTGCTAGGGAGAAAAAAGAAAAGGTTCTAAACATTTTGGATTATTTTATCGTTGAACAAATAGAAGAAAATGACCTCTCCTCTTTTTGTGACTTTAATTTTCTCTTCATGTGGCGGTGGACTGCAAGGAAAGCAAACTTGGCAGTTGTATTTTTGTTTTCCAGGAATTTTTTCTCTGCCTCCTTTTTTTTGGAAGGAAGAGCAGTGAAGGAGTGAGGTGGGTGCGTAAAACCCCAACCTCAAGCTTCCCTCCAATCCAACCTAACTCTTCATTCATTGGATTTTGGCATCACAACGTTACCTCAGAAGCAATTAAGAAAGCAACCACAGAGTGGTCCCCATTAACCGTTTATCTCAGCTTCCAGGGACAGCACCACATCCTTTTTAGCTCTTGTAGTTAAATGGACACTAGCAAGTAACATCAGGTGAATTTTGTAACAGTGTTTCTTCTAGGTACGAGATTCAAAATGGAAAAAAAAAAATTATGGTACACAACTGTAATGAGAATTGCGCTGAAAACATACACGTTTCTGAATTGATTTGTGATAAAAACATTCACCAAACCAACTGTTTTGTCCTTAATGTTCACTAAACAACAAACCAAACGTCTCTCTCTCTCTAATCGGTTTCATATTAAGTCCAAATCACTCTTTCACCAGTCATGCACTAATTAAATCAATTCTTGACATTATACGCAAATCACAACAATTCCAGTATCAATTATTTTTATCCCCTAATGACTCCAAATATATACTAACTGCAAAATAATTTTTCTGTAATCATTTTCAATTACCTAATGACCCCTTCTCTCTGAGACTCGGCAAGATGAGACCATTATCTCCATTTTAACTTCCTTACCGACAATTTTGCATCAACAGTTCTTAACTTCTACACTTGTTAATCAGTATAATTAACTTCCGAAATGGTGAAACGAATTAATTTGGTCCCTATCATTACAAAATCATTCAAATTGGTTCGTTTATTAGAATAATTTATCCACTATTTTGGTCTCTAAAATTTAACATTCATTACCTGTTTTGGTGCCTCATAATAAGATCGAATTGATTAATATGTGATAAACTCAATGATTAAACTAGTTAATACCTATCAAAGTTGGAGATATCAATAGAGCCTTATTATCAAGGATTAAAATGATCAAACATATATATTTATATTTATGATTATAGCGTCTGACACTAACTTAACATTTTTTCTCCTTATGCAGTTAAATAGTTTTTTATTCAATAATTTTATCACATAATCTTTCATTGAGATAAATATAATTTTTTTACATTAATTTATAATCATTTAATACCTCATTAATATAAACAAAATTAAGTGATTCTTTTACTCGTATATATCTTTTTTTCTTTTTACATTTTAATTTCGTATATGCATTGATGGATCTATAGACACTCTAATTTATCTATCCATTAGTTATTAGCAACTTATGATTGTAGTTTTAGATACAAAATATAAGTGGTTTTAAAAAATTTTGGAACTTAATAACATAAATCTAAAAAATACTAATTCAAGGGAAAGTTATAAACCATTTTGCTAAACTCAAGTAAGCTTTCGTTTCGAAATGTAGACATCAAAAGATAAAGATCACCAAAAAGAGTTTTATTATACATTCTTAATGGACCCAGCATATATCCATTGTATCATTCTTTGTCGGGTGTCACATGTTGATAACTAATATTGGGCTATTAGAATTGAGTTTAGGTAATTGTTGTTCCTGGACATTAAATAATTAACAATATTGGCCTTCTACTTTCTTGACATAATGGAAAATAATTCCATGTTCTGGACCGAACCTTTACTTCATGGATGTGAGTATTACAACCCGGCCCACTATATTAGTTTGACAAAAAATAATAGTGTCCCACACGTGTTAAAAAGGTAACTTTTATTTATTTATTTAATAATATTAAATATTAAAACATTGAATGCCTTCTTGTATGCAAAATTTAGGAATTTACACTTGAATGTAAATTCTTTTTAGAATTACTCATTTCTGCAGTTCCTGAATTTTAGAATGTATTTGTTTTGTTTTTTTTACTTCTCTCTCTTTTCCTTTTTCTTTTTAAACAAATTTTGTGAACTATAAAATTAATCTTTGGATTAAAGAAATATGTACAAGCGAAATTAAATATTCCATACGTATAAGTGAAATTTATTAAGCATAGCTTCTTTCTTAAGTTGTATATTTTCTATATCTATATATTTTTTTCTTAAGTTAAAACTACCTTAGAATAAAAATATATATATTTCTATTGTCAAATTAATTATCCAAATTATATGCTTATACATAATAATCTAAAATGTTTAAAGCATACAATTGACACTAAAAAATATTAAAAAAATTAAATGAACTAATTTCATTTTTAAGATAATTTGTATTTATAATTATTATATAACAAGAATTTATTTATTCTCTTTTACAACGGTATTTTTAGTATTATCTAAGAGACAACAATAAAAATATTATAATTTATAAAAAAAGAGTTATTATGATTTATATATTAAATATATATATATATATATATATATGAAAAAAAATCATTATACGTAATCAGTAAAAAAAAGTGATGGTTATATTTAGAAAAAATGGAGATAAAAAAGAAAATATTTTTTAAGAAAGAAACAAGTTATATCGGAGAGAAAAAATATCATACATAATAAATAAAAAATATAAGAATATAGGAAAAAAAATTAATTTTAAAAAATTATTCATACATTTAACGAAAAAAAAGTGAAAATAAAAAAGTTTAACATAGATAAAAAACATGTAATATATATTTAAAATAAATAAATAAAAATTAACAATATAAATTTTCATTGTAGGTAATTAGTAAAAAAAATGTGATGGTTATATTTAGAAAAAATGGAGATAATTTTTTTTTTAAGAAAGAAACAAGTTATATCGGAGAGAAAAAAATATCATACATAATAAATAAAAAATATAAGAATATAGGAAAAAAATTATTTAAAAAAAATTATTCATACATTTAAAGAAAAAAAAGTGAGAAAATAAAAAAAAGTTTAACATAGATAAAAAAACATGTAATATATATTTTAAAAAATAAATAAAAATTAACAATATAAAAAATATAAATTTGAGGAATATGTTCTTACTTATTTATATGACTTTAGTTTTAAAATTAATAATTAAAACAATATTAATTTAATGAATATCATAACAATATAGAAGTTAAAACAGTCGTTCGTACAAAATGATAAACAATAAAAACAAATAACTAATTAAGTGGATAACCACCTAATTTAGGTTTTCAAGGAAAAAGAAGAAGAGAAATGAACTCTTAATTTTATTTTTTTTTATCCAATTTATTAAATTTTTTTCCATTCAATATATTTTCTCCGTCCTTACTATATTTCTCTTCTTCCCTGCAAGAAGGATAAGAGTCCAGCAAAGTGAGGCACAGATAGATAACGCGGCGTGTTCAGATAGGAAGCTTAGTGGGTAGAATCTAGAAAACATGAAATCCAATTCGTAACGAATCCACATTCGTTCATAATAATTCTCTTCGCATTACACGGTGTTGTTCCATGAGCAAGGACTACGATGGCCTATGCATTCTACAATTTCATCTACTTTAGCGTTCGATGTTCCTCCTGCGCGAGCTGTAATTTTTGGAATGCACATTAGCGGTCTCTTTCTCATCCTCTCAAATTTCTTCTCATTTCTGTTTCATGCGTGAATTCATAATTTTTTTTTTTCTTTTCCGCATTTGAAGGGCATTTGCTGTTGGAAGCTTTTCTCCTGATAGTCGTCATCGGCTTACTTTCCCTGGAAAGTTACAAGCCTCCTAAACGACCGTTAACAAACAAGGTTAAGTCGATGATTCCGTCACTACTATTTTTCTATATTCTCTTATGGTTCTCACTCGTTCATTGTTTCAATTTTAATTTTTGTGTGAAATCAAATCACTATTTTAGGTTAAATGGTTGTTTCTATTAAATGGCTACGTTATGCTAGTGTTTGTTTAGAAATTATAACTACTCAAAATAATGTTTTTGAATTTAGATGGATGTTTTGTCGGTTGACTAGTGCGGTTGCAGTAGTTCAGGGGACGTGACATTGGAGCATCTCGAAGTAATTTTGATAGCACTTTTATGTTTTGTTTGGTACAAATATGTTAAATAAAATTACGTGATAGAATGGAAATAGGTGAAAAATATAATGAAAATTGAAGGTGCTTTGTAATAGATGAAAAATAATTCTATTGCATTCACCATTTTCAAAATTATTTCTCTCCTCCTTCTCTCCCGCTAAACACCCTGTATTATAGTTTTGTGTCACTCATCCTCTCATTCAAACTCATCCTTAAATAAAGCTTTCAAGTTTGTTTGACCTTCAAGTTTCTATCTATTCACAGTTAGTCTTTTTTAGATGTCGCGGTGCTTGAATTCAATCTATTTCTCCTAACATTACTAAGCCAGCAGTTTCTAGGTCTTACATGAACAAAACTTTAAATGTGGAACCTTAGGCGTTTTTAGTGTTGTTATCCAATTAAAATTAGTTTTACCTCGGAAACTTATTCTGATCTATAACGTGTGTCTTTATTAAGTAGATTACCTAGACGGAGCTTCAATTTTCTTTAGAGAATAATACCAACAAATCAAAGGAACAGTATTTAAGTTTCTTCCTTATATGAGATTTTTCTAAATGTTTGCAGTGGGGCAGCAATCTACTGCTGAAATGAAATCTATAATTATGTAACTATTTTTTTCTCATGGACATACTTATTACCATATTCTATTGTATTAATGATTAGAACTTGAATCCCATAATATATTGTTATTATTTGTTGTACTTATTGCACCACCAATCCGTGCTGGTGTTTTGATGTTTTGAAATTTGTGCCTCATGTTTGCAGGAAATAGATGAGCTATGTGATGAATGGGTTCCAGTACCCTTGATCCCACCTCTGATTAAAGAAATGCAGTATGAACCACCAGTTTTAGAGAGGTGGCTACTGTTTTTTCCAGGGGAAGCATCTTTATTTTTTAAATTTAGTTTTTAAAAATTGGTTATCATTTATGCTTGCTCTTTTCTTTGTTGGAGTGTCTGTCTCCCCTGTACACCTGTGATTTATACTTGCTAACTTCACCATTATCTTTGCTATGATTTTAGAGTTACACGCATGTTCCTAGTTTCTACATTATTGTAACATATGGATGAGGAGTATGTTATATTTTATTTTAAGTTTAAATTTTGGAAGGTTCAAATAATTTTTTAATAAAAATGCTTTTCATGTCATGTTAGATTCTGGTTGAAATATGAAGTCTGGTCCAGACAGGTAAATGTCATAATGGGTCTATATGTCGCATAAATTACACAAAAGATTATCTATAGTATGGACTGTTAACATATAAATGTTATAAAAGGTTATCAACCAAAATGGGCCGGTTTATTTAATTTCTTTCTGCCGATGATATATGTTTTCTACAGCGCTGCCGGACCACATACCATAATTAATGGCAAAGAAGTTATCAATTTTGCTTCAGCAAACTATCTTGGGTTGATAGGACATCAAAAGTTACTTGTAAGGACATGATCCTCACATCAGTGATAGATTTCTCTTTTATGCACCAATTTGATGCTGTAAATTTATAGAAATGTTTTGTCACAGGAGTCATGTTCTTATGCTTTAGGGAAATATGGTGTTGGTTCTTGTGGTCCACGTGGGTTTTATGGAACAATTGGTAAACTTCAATTTTAAATTTTAATGTAAATTCTAACTGAAACTTGTTTTTTTATTTTAAGCAAATATTTGTTCTTACCCTTGCCTTAGATGTGCATCTTGACTGTGAAGCAAAGATAGCAAATTTTTTGGGAACCCCTGATTCAATCCTCTACTCTTATGGATTTTCTACCATGTTCAGTGCAATTCCTGCTTTCTCGAAAAAAGGAGACATAATTGTTGCGTAAGTATGGATAAGCCTGTATTTAAAAATCAATTATATGTCTTTACTGAGTTTTTCTCAATTTTAGTCTCAGGAGGACATTTATAGTGGCAAGGCCATCATTGATAACCAGAAAACTCTCCAATGCTTAGTCGGGATAATTTGTGTCACATTGTTTTTCCTATGGATTGTGTTTGTGATTGGGTTCTTGTCCCACCAATAGATTTTACAAATTCATTTTATAAGAATTCACTTAAAACATGTTGATCAACAGAGGCCTAAACTATGATGTCTAGATTTTGAGTTTTATATATAAACTGTTATCTTTTACAGGGATGAAGGAGTCCATTGGGGAATTCAGAATGGCCTTTATCTATCTAGAAGCACGGTGATGTACTTTAAGCACAATGACATGAACTCTTTGAGAGAAATGCTAGAGAAAATTACTACAGAAAATAAGCAAGCTAAGAAGTTGAGGCGTTATATTGTTGTTGAAGCTATCTATCAGGTAGATGTTGTCTGTCACTATCATATTGGGAGATAAGATTCACACTTACAAATTCTGCTTTGATGTGCATAAATCCTACTTAATATAACAAACTCCTTTAGACAATTTTTTAATATTAAAAGCAGACTCTTGAATTCTGTCTTCTTTGTTACGACTAGCATGTTGGTAAATGTCTTATATGAATGGCTAGAACTTCTGGAAATAGGGTACTGAAACTGAAGAAATTTCTAAAAAAAACTAAATAAGCATTTTTAACCTTTAAGCATTCTAAACTTTAGCCAAATAATATATAACTACATGGGAATTCAAAACAATACAAATTTATATGCTTGGAGTACTCATACCTTCGGTACAAGCTTTTATGCGTGCACTTGTATGTCTTCATCATATAGATAATTAATAAGCATTAATAAATTAGATAAAAAGGGCTATGTGGTTTGGTCTGACAGTTTTATGTTTTAAATAATCTGATACAAAGTGTTGTGAGCCAATCTTCTTTCACTTCTCTCAAATTTTCCATCAGTTTCCAATTGTTCTTTCATGGGCAAGAATGAATTATAAATGACTGTCAAATTTGTGTTGCAGTGTCATTACATAAATTTGTTCTCCATGTTCATATGCCCAATTATCCTATATGAAAGCAATTTTTTTACCAATACCTGTTAACTTTTTTTTTTTTTTCAGAATTCGGGCCAGATAGCACCATTAGACGAGATTATTAGATTGAAAGAGAAACACCGTTTTCGTGTTTTGCTGGATGAGAGCAACTCAGTTGGTGTACTTGGAGATTCTGGAAAAGGTCTCAGAATATTACGGGGTTCCTGTATGTGCTAAAATTTATGTGTGCATGGAAGTGCATTCCCTCACACACTGGATTCAAGTGTGCATATATTTTGAATTTTATTGCTATTTGTCATTTATGGATATTTGCTGCAGGTTCAGAAGTTAGATATTATAACTGCCACCATGGGACATGCATTGGCTGCTGAAGGAGGATTCTGCACCGGAAGTTCTAGAGTAATAGATCACCAAGTATGGAACATTCCTCAAGTGTGGAAATTAAGGATTGATTTCTTTAGTAATTTTCTCATCATTTTCTATCAGTTTCTCCCAAAACCGGTATATGTTTGAACTGTAGAACTTGTATGACGGAGAAAAGTGCTTTGGAGTTTCCATCACTATTCTACAATTATTTCTTATACATTTTCCATGCACTTATGTTTCTATTTCTACCTTGGCAGCGATTGAGTAGTTCTGGCTATGTCTTTTCTGCTTCTCTGCCTCCATATCTTGCTAATGCTGCAATTACAGCTATTGATATCTTGGAGAAAAATCCCAATCTGATTACAAAACTGAAGAATAACATTGCTCTATTGTGGAAAAGTGAGTTTTGATCTCAATGTGTGTTCCTTTCCTCTAGCCGAATCTTATTGTTTAGTAGCATCTTTTTTGGGTTCAAACTTTTGAACATATATCATATGATAGAGTGAATTGCTGTTTACTTCAATTTTATTTTTTTTGAAAACCAAAAACAAAGGTTGAAGTTTTTTGGTAACATATTGGATTGTATAGGATTGTCAAAAATACCAGGCTTCACAATTGCAAGTAATCCGGAGTCGCCAATTGTTTATCTGAGATTAGAGAAGTCAACAGGTTCCATGCAAGATGACCTACATCTGCTTGAAGATATTGCTACGCGTGTAAGGGATGCTGTTTGACAATGTTAATAGCCTACTATTAATTTTGCTTGTTCCTAATCAAGTTATTGACAGGTTTTGAGAGAAGATTCAGTATTTGTTGTGACCTCCAAGAGATCCTCGTTGGACAAATGCCGTTTGCCTGTTGGAATTAAATTGTTTGTTTCAGCAGCGCAGCGCATTCAGAGGTAGATCTTCTTAAGGCATCTGAATCGTGTCATACCTGATCATTTTCACCTTCTCATGTCTCCAAATTTACATCATCATCACTTCTCATCTATGTTAAAATGAGGAATTTTGAAATCCTGCCTCGATGGGTCCGTAGTTATTGATAAATTAGGATATTTGTGGAACTCGGATCACAACAAAGGCGATGGTTGAGAATTTGTCATTTGAAACGAAACAGTGGAGAATTGAAATCCAATTTTAGTGTTGCAATTTACCTTTTGGTTCATTTTGTTGGAATAATGTTTTTATTCTTTCTTTAAAATGTTTCTAAAAAAAATGAGAGCTAGTTATTTTTGAGACGGAGGAATTCAAAAGATTCAAGTCTTTAAAATGTGTTTTAATATTTAGAAGAATAACAACAATTCATATTGTAATAATTTATATGTCTTAAACTAAGTAATTGAGGAATTTAATATGTGATTTCTCTTTAAATACAGAGAAAATTATATAAAAAAGAAGAATATTCACATATGTCCAAGATTTTCACCTGAGTTAATTATTGTTTGAGGAAAATTTAGTATGTAATAATATCATAGTAATAAAAATGACTTATATGCAATATTTGGAACGAGGGAGGAAGAAAGTAAAAATGAGATTGTTTAGATGTAAAAAAAAAAAAAAAAGTAGAAAGTGAAAAGAAACGGATAAAAAGATTATAGAAAATGATATTAAATAAAAAGATTAAAATAATAATCTGAATTAAGTAATCTTCTGCATTAATGAGAGATAGAATACGAATAAATTAGAACTGTGATATAATTTAATTTAAATGAATTAATTTATATTATATAAAATTATGAAATATATAAAATTTAGTTTATATATAAAATATAAAAGTAATTTGTCATATTTATAAGAATATTTAAAATATTTTGGTTTATTACTTAAATAATAATTTATAAGTTTTGTTTTATTTCACATAAAATAAAATATTTAAATAGTAAAAAAAATATAACATACAATTGTAGTCATCCAAGAAAAATTAAAGTCAAGTGAAACTTGAATAAAAATATATTGATAATTAATAAAATTATAATCATCCAACAAAAGAATACAATTGTCCAAATAAAATACATGACATATAATGTTTATATCTATCCAAATTTTGGAATTCATTGTCTAGAATGAAAGAACAACTTTTATGCAGACAAAAATATATTTTTTTAATTAATTATATCATGTAGACAAAAATATTTTTTAAATTAATTATATCATATTATGGATAATGACCATACTACAATAATTATTAAATATTGAGTATTATATTAATTTTATATGTAATAAATAAATAATTATAACTTCACTTAAAATTAATTTAATTAAGAAATAATTATACCATCAAATCAATAAAAATTATTTACTATAATTTTAATATTTTTGACATGTAAAATTTTTAATAATTAAACTCCTCACTTATTACAATCGTAAAAAAGTATTAGTCTTCACATCTAAAACATATTATTTTCCTAAAAAATTAGCATACTCTTATAAATCATTACTTAAATTTTAAATCTATTTTATTATACTCTTATAAATAATTACTTAAATTTTAAATTTATTTTATTATACTCTTATAAATAATTACCTAAATTTTCTATAAGAAGAGAAATAAAAACGTACTTGACTAGATAATAATATAGTCCCTTATCATTGTTTTTAATTTCTCTCACAAAATTGATGATGAGAATGAAAAAGGAGTGAACATGTACTCTTCACGGATGTAATAGTGCATTTATACATAAAATTAGAATGGTTCACCAGTTGAGTTTTAATGTTGCACAATACATATTAATGTTCATTCAACGTGCATGATCATGCACAATATAATGTATGTTGTAAAGTGTTATATTGTAAATGTCTCGTACCTAGTTTGAGTTAATAACAACATAAATTGTGTTGGTGCATAAATGAAATCGCTGCATATGCAAGTGAAACCATAAGTATATTTGAAGGGTTGATAATGTTCAAATCTCCTCTTTTTAATTATCCGCATATACAAATACAAAATATACTCTCAAATACATGTCCCCGTTTTATTGATTACATTAAATCAATCAATGGATGTAAGATTTTAATTCTCCAAATATAACAGTGTAATCACTAAGTGATAATAGGGTTAATTTTTCAAAATAATTATATATAAGGGTTAAAAATAATGATTTTTCAATATTAATTAGAATTGAAAACATAATTATACTTTATTTATTATATGGCAAATTGAGAAGATGCTTAGTAAATATAAACAATGAGAAACACTACTTACATCAACTTTTCTGCAAAGGATTAATGAATGTCCGTACTATTGTGCTAATGACTTTTACAAGTTAAATTATATTGACTTCCTCTCAAGTTTAGTTAAATTACGTTTGATATCTTTTTTATTTCCACATATAGAGTTACGTTTCTTAAGATTCAATTATCACTGTACTTTTCTTTTAGCAGAGGTGATTGAAAATACACTGTGGTATGCGTGCCATTTTGAAATAAAAGATATAAACAAATATAATTAACTTAAAATTTACTAGAAATTAACAACATTTTTTCTCTCTTTATGTTTTCACTGAATTAGAATATATTAATACAGATCATGTTGTCTTTCAAACAATTTTTTCTTACTTTTATTCTAAATTTTCTTAACATATTTTTTGGACTACTTTCCCATTTATTTTAGAATAGACTTTTTGAAATATTTTTATTTCAAAAGTTTTATTATAGAAAATATGTATGGGTGTAGCAAGTTGGGCCTTTTTAACATTCAAAGTTGTGTACTTGTTTCTGGGTGAGCTTTCAGGCCCAGGTTGAGAAAATATGATCTAATTAGTAGATTCTTGAGCCAAGTGTGATTTTGGTCCTATTCAAGCAACTTTTGCAACTCCCTTCTTAAGGTTTATTTAATAAGAAAAATAAAGGGAAAGAAATAGAAGGAAACTAATAATAAAAAAAGAGATGAACATTAAATTGTTTAATAGGAGAAATTTTTATTTTTTAAAAAATGATAAAATTTAAAAAAATATTTTTTCCCTTGTTTAATTATGTACAAAGTTGTATGATATAAATATTTTTAATACAAAATAAGTATAAAAAGTAATGTAATATTTGACTTTCATATTTATTTATTTATTTATATAATTTAAATCACACTCCAGATTAATAAGGCAACACAAGTTTTGAACCCTGTAATATGCATCACACTGCACACGCATACATAAGAGCGGTGAAAAAAAAAATTGTTTTTTTTTTTAAGGGCCTCCCAATTATATTTTTTATTTTTGACGAAAACTTGACGATAGAGAAGAGTAACCATTCCACCGTTAAAATTGTTCCGCTTAAAGTTGGGTGGCACAAGCATCAATTAGGTAAGTGGTTTTGATCGTAAAAGTAAAAATATAAAAAATTAGAACGCGGTTTTATTTTATTATTCTGTTTCTGACCACTGAAAGACAAAAACTTTATTCTGACCTTTGACGAGTTTAAATCAGGTTTGGCAGTTTGACACGTTGTTTTTTAGGTTAATTATATCTTCTTTTTTTTTTCTTTAGTAAATTGATCCTTCTTCATTTGCGCAGGTTATTAAATGCCACTGCCAACCACCAAAGGCATAAGCAGAATCTATGAAATACTTCTCAAGTGGACAAGGGAGGAATCAAAGTCAAACCCTAAAACTGAATAAGAAAGTTCATTGCAACAACATAGAAACAATCTTGGGGAGGAGAGTGGAACATATCTTTAATGAATTGGGATATTGATAAAATTTAAGTAGGTTGGATGTACAAAGTATATCTCATTAATTCACTTTTAAATTTTTTTTTTCTTCCAACTCTACCACTCACGTGTTTCACTTTCAATTGTTTGTTGTGGAAGGTCAAATCTTGACAATAATAATAATAATAAAGGAATTCTCTCTCTGAAAATACTTCTACAAATGCTTTGAAAAAGTAGAATGAGAACTAATAATCGTCTGAACAGAAATTTCAACGTGAATGGAATCAATTCACCAGAAAAGTATAGGTTTTCGCATAATAATACTTTTTTTGTTATTTTTTACATTAGCATATTTATATTAATGTATACAGTAAACATTGGATTGTTTATGAGTACTTTAAAACTAGGTATGGCCACTGGACAGAGCCAGTGTCCAGGGTTTTGCCTTCCAATCTTCTTCCAATCCATTTTTTTTAATCATCTTGCCCTATTCTTTTATTATTGTCAGAATTAAAAATTAAATTTTTATCTTTATTTTTACTGAATTTTGGGTTGTTACTTCAGTTTTCGATTTATATTATTTAAAAAAATAATAATTACATTTATAATAAATTAATTTTATTATATATTTTTTATATATAAATAAATATTTATAATTTATAATTATTATTAATTAAATATATATATATATATATATTTTTTTTTAATTTATTATATTTATATTAAAATATATATGTAAAAGAAAATTTTTATTATTTTTTATTTATATATATATATAATATTTATAATAATATTATTATTATAACATTATATTCAAATATTTGAATACTTATAATATTATTATTATAATACTGTATTTAAATATTTAATTACATATATAAGTTAATTCATTTTTAACATGTTATTTAAAAATATAAAATACATAATTTATAAGAAATAATTTAATAAATTAATTCTTATTTAATTAATTCAAAGTAATAAAAATTTAAATTATTAATTTCTTTTAATATTTTAAAATATAATTATTTTATTAAGATAAAATTTGATATATGATAAATAAAAATAATAAGATAAAAAATTATGACATAATAAAACCTAATAAATATAAATTATAAATAAAATGATATTAGTTATTACTAAGATTTATGTAAAATATTTAGAAAAAGATAAAAAAAAATAGTCTTGTGTTCATCAAATTAATTGAAAAGATTAAAAAAAATAAATTGGTGGGAGTGATTAAAGAAATAAAAAAAATAAAAAGGCAAAAGAGAGAATAATGTAATAAATTAATTAATATAAAAGATTAAAAAAATTAAAAAGTTGGTAGAAGAAAAATAAAATGATGAAATATAAAAAGGTAGAAAAAAATAAAATAGTAAAATATAAAAAGATGATATGTAATAAAAAATAAAATACTTTTAAAATATTAATATTTTAAAATTTAAATTTAAATTTAAACTGCAAGGAGAGATGTATTCAGCATGGAAACTAGCTCTAACTTAAATTTTTCTTATAAAACTCGGATCACCGTACCAATTTAATTGCTGTCTCTCTTTATAACTATATTTTATATGCTTTAATTTGATATCCTGAAATTCTAATTATTAGTTTGGCTTTAAAGTTACACGATTTTTACCAGACATATATATTATTACAATAGCACTAAAGAAAGAATATATGTTTGAGTAACATCACCTTTTACTATAATTATGAATATCCTTACCTTTTGCTACAATCATGCTTCTTCAGCTTCTCCTTCAATGTTTAATCAAATGAAAGTCACAGCCACAAACATCCATGACCACCATATTTTTATCACCACAAAAATGAGAATAAAAAAGAGAAAAGAAAAGAGAGGAAGGAATCCTGAATCCTTTGTGCAAAAATTGCCGATTTAATAATCTTTATCGGTCGGTGTTTGAAATGTCCGTGTTTTAAGAAGTTCCATTTTTCGCTTGCTTTTTTAAATAAAAAATAGTTACTATGAATTAGTGTATTATATTCATCTCTGTTCTGTTCGATTCTGAATTATAATATTACAATATTACATATTTATTTTCTCAGGCAATTGAAACCTGGAAATATTTATTTTATTATATGAGAATACAATATTTACAGAGGGGGTGACAATGTTCTGTTCCAAATGAAAAAAAAAAAATGTAGAAGACGAAAGACAAACTGTATTTGACTAGTTGGTCAATGTTAAGCCTCCACATTGGGTGATGATAGATAAAGTAGTGTGTCATGTGTATGAATGTCTCTTTGTGTGTGTTCTCTATATTTGTATATCACTAACCGATGCCGAAGATCCCATTCAGATGGTGAGATGCATCATGCATACATCAAACATTCTTCCAAACAACCCATGTATGTGGCCATGTCTCATTTGGACAAGCATGGAACGATGATGTTACCAAAGTGCACTCTTCGCTGTATAATCTATGATGCCGTGTTTGGACATTTTCCAGAACCATCTAAGACGATTTCAAATAGATCAGCCTCAGAATCCTCGTCAAAATCCAATGTTCGATTATTGTTATGGTTATTATTATTATTGTTGTTGTGGCTTCCTTTGGTCGTGGACCGATTGAGCCACTGAGAATCGATCCTTCCCATTGAGAATAGCTCCTTGCTGTCATCATAGCCCAAGGTAGCAGCAGGGGAATTTACAAGTGGGGCTATGAAGCATGGATTTGGTGTTCTCTGGGCATTGGCAGGTGCATATTTGAATGCACTTTGTCCAAAATTAACTAAAACCATAATGTCTATATTTGCAGCCATGATTGGAAAAAGTGGTGTGCCAAATTCCTCTGTCTGGCAGTGGATTACATGCATTAGATCAGAGTCTATTGTGAAGAAAACCTTCTTCTGCCTTGGATCAAATCCACATCCAATCACTCTATCAGTTCCCACCCACTCTGCCTTCTCTGATTCGCGTACAAGTTTCATTCCTGTAGCCAGTTCTCACACTTAGATGTCTCAAAAGGTACCATAGCAATAATATAGCAGAAATTTAAATTGTTATGTAAGTAAGTAAGAGCATGGTTGATTCCATTCACAGATTTATTTATTTTTTTGTTCCAAAAACTCTTTTTCTAAATAATGTCACGCCTTTCAACACTCATTTTCTCATCCAAAAATTTTCTATCTTGCACCATCCTCCATTAGTTGTGTTAACAACCTTGTTTAATTATTGCATTCTGAAAACTACATACAGTTTTTGAAAGACACCCCAAGTACATGTATTCTTTTCTGCTCCTTCTTTTCAGTTCAATAGATAAAACAAAATAACTAAACGATAAAAGGCATAGTTGTTAAAAACTACAACTGTACCTAATTCTGTCAACTGGTATGGTAGGAAACAAATGAACGTGATTTAGGAGTAAACAATTACCGTCAAGATAGAGAGAACCGTTGGAGTTGAAGCCAATGCTCCCAGGGTAGCTACCGGGAACTCTCAAAGGAACAGACCCCCCTATTGTTAACCCCAACGAGAACATCACAGATTCACCTTTCCCACCCTCCCCTTCAACATTGTTGATTTTATTACTTCCATTCCCACTGGTAACATGAGCCAAAGCCTCGGAATTCCCTTTACCATTGGTGTTCCCTTGAACCAAAAGCTTGGTCTTCTCACCTTCCCCACTCCTCCCAACAGATTCACTCTCATCCCCACGTGAGTACAAAATGGTAATCTCAAAATATGCTTCTTGTGGGAACGCACAATTCCCCAGAGGAGGTCCAGGCACAGGCAAAGCCCCTCTAATGATAGAAGCAACACCCAGGGAACCATTATTGTTGTTGTTTTGTTGAGATTTTTTTATACCAGGATTCATTCTCACCTTCTGCATAAACTCAGCAGATCCCCGTGACACTTCCCAGCTTATCTCAGCCTCTGATTCTCTCCCAAAATCACTTCCTCCCGGTGCAGCACACGCTCCCAAAAGTGCCGATCTTTTCGAAGGAGACGGAGTGTAACTCTTGTACCCCGTGAAGGCAAATCTTGACCATCCATTTTCAACAGCATCAGCTGCCATGGATGGATGATCACCCCAATTAAAGAAGCTTCTCTTCCCCGACAACCCACCACCGCGAAAAACATAGTAATTGTAATTACCCTTGTTGCTATTCTTGCTCCCCTGATCCAACTGAAAAGGTTGCTGATGAAGCCTGGAAACAGATATCCCTCCCTGCACACTCTCCACCCTGGTCAAACTAGCCGGTTCAACGAATTTCCTGCCATTTTTTTTGTGACACAAACGCCAGAGAAAGACCAACATAAGGGTGGAGACGCATCCCACCGCGGATGCGGCCACCGCCACGTGTATCCACTGCCTCATCTGTTTCTTCTTGTAATGGATTTGAATTGGGTTTGTTTGGTTTGCAGGTTTGTATGCATAGATAGTTTGTTGCTGTGATGAGAAAAATAAAAAATAAAAAGAGAAAAGAAAAGGTAGAGTGATGGGTAAGGGAGAAAAGAATGAGTGAAAGATTGGAAATTGAAATTATGAGGTGGGTGGGGTGGCGTGGCGGGCGTGGACTAAGACTAGTTCAATCAAAGAAAGCATGCAGGAAAGGGAAGAGAAGAGAAGAGATGTGGCATTACTACTAGAAGGGAGACACACACGACAAGGTAAGGGTAACGTAGCGTTTTTGTTTGATTAAGAATTCTTTGGCAGTACCCCATTATTTAATACTGTGGGAACCGACAAACACTCCTCTTTAAGCACACAACGCGTTTCGCCGTTTATTGTGTCTTCTGTTTTCAAAGGAGAGACCCAATTCATTTTCTTACAAAACAGTTAAATTTTTTTATTTTCCACTTAATCTTACCAAGTATACAATAGTTGGATCTTCTTGAAAAATGGAAGAATTATAAATAATAAACAGAATAAAAGTTTAATTAAGATCGAACATCATATTTTAGTCAAATAATTTAACTATCGAACAACTTAGATTAAGCGGTGGAGTAATTTTATCTCAATGGATCCATATGCATAGTAATTGATTAACTCCGTTATAGTAAGGTTTTCCTCTACACAGATTAAAAATAATAATAAATCGTTTAATTAATCAAATAAATTTATACAATATTTTTATTTTCTTTCTCTATGAATACTTTTTAAATATTATAAAAAAACACTATTTATTTGAGGTAAAATTAAAATTATTTTTAATATTTTATTAAAGATTTAAAACATTGATTAATATGACTCTTAATGAAAAGTCAGTCCATTTAGAATAGAAGAAGAAAAAACCATGAAAAATGGAAACAGAAAAATATATAATAATCAAATGTAAAAATTAGTATGTGAAGAGAAGAGAGACGTGGGAAAATAATATTAATAATAGAAAATGAGATGATTAAAGAAGAAAGACGTAATAATGAAGAGGTAAAATTGTATAAGGAAAAGCAATGTAAGAAAATAAATATAATTATTAGCAGAGAGAGTAGTTTTCACCTGTTCAAAAACAGAAATTAAAAAAAGAAAATGCTGTTTTCTTTGTTATCTTGTCGTAGGCAACAGATCACGGGTACGGTACAGAGGAGAACAAAAAGTTGGAAATGCGAAATGGATGCTTTTTTCTGCGTTCTGATTCGTCTGAAGCAGAGTTTGGTTGGGTTCTCTTGTTCTTGTACTACCTCTTTTTGTCAAATACTTTGTTCTTTATCTACTGGTCCTTTAGTCTCGTACCACCAAAATAATTTGAAGAAAAAGAAAAACAGATTTTCAAAGTAAAAGTCGTGGGCGTGGCCCATAAGGATGCCAGAAAAACGAGACTCGTAAAAAGCGAAAAATAAAAGAACGTACATGGAAAGACAACATAACATGAAAGGATAATGATATTATATATGAGATTCATATACCACAAACACTTATTTAACACACTTTTTATCTTCTTCTTTTTTCTATCATTTCATGTTTTATCTACACTACTCTTTTTTCTTTTTCCATTTTGTCTGCATCAAATAGCATGGAATGAAATCGCATGCATGTTTAACCAAGCAAAGATATATAAAACCCGTTGTTGGAAAGTGTTTGGATTTTTTTTAATATAATATTTATATAATTATGCTATATTAACTTATTGAGTAAATTACTGTCACAAACTCTGTATTTATAACTAATCACATCCTGGAAAAGTAATATTCAATATTAATTGCAGGAGCACAATCCACATACGTGCAAAAAAGTAATTTAACATAGTTTATGTAAAGTATTTAAAGTTGTCATTAAAAGAAAAATTATATATATATATAATTACACAGGAAAAGAAATTTATTAGTTTTTTAATCAATCTTTTATTGAATATGATGATATTGATTTGAAAAATTCAACAATAAATATCGCATATAAAATTTTATTTGTGAATGGAATTGATTTTATTAATGATTCCAACAATTGATTGGACTTCCAACGTTCCATTTGAATATAGTGAATGCACTCCGCCACTAATGCACCTGGCATCATAATTCATTGTTATATGTTTAATACTATTAACTAGTTATTAAGGTTTGGGACAAAACACTTTCACACGTAGAATTTGTCTCACTCCATGAATAATGGTTCTTTCTTCCAGATGGCAAACTTATGATGAGGGACCGTCCTTAAAATATGGCCATGCAGATAACATGGTGGACCCAAATTTGAAGCAGCCAAATAAATATAGCACTATGACTTTATTAATATGAAATTGGTATTTTCACTTTTTCACATCTTTTGGAGGATGACAGAGAGGTGTGTGTGACTGCTATGACCACATTAATAGGGTTTATCAGAGATACAATACAATATATAATTACCTGAATGTAAAGATTCTTTTTACAAACTTACAGATAACTGTCAAAAGAAATGAACATCACAGAGAGGATGCAGTCTCCCAAATCTTTGAAAACCGGATTCTGACTAATAAAAGTGTAAAGAAAGATGAAACGCGCAGTCACATGCAAAGGAAGACAATGAAAGTATGAAAGAAAAAGCTCTTTTTCTAATAAAGCAAAAGGGATGATATATCAGCAGCATATGGAAAAAGGGCTATTCCTAGCAAAATTCAAATGTTAGAGAGCATCTTTTATAGGTATAAATTATAAAATTGGTAAAATTATGAGATGTCTAGTAAGAATGCACATGTTCATAATTTGCGATGCAGTTTTTTTTTTTTTTTCCTTATCCTTTATAGAACGTTCTTTGATAAAAGAACAAAATGTTACGGCATTTAAGAGCTCGATCATAATCTGCTTTGTCTCCTTTTCTTGCAGACCAAAAGTGCCTGCAATGGATGGTAAATTACATCTGCTGAAGCTGGTTGCAGAAGAGATGGGGTTCCATTTCCAAACATTATAATTAACAGAATAAAAGAATATGACATGTTTCTCAGTGTCACGTATGCGTCACCACAAGTGTTAATTAAAGAGCATGAGTACCGGATGCACTCCCTGTCTGCGTAAATATCGAATTTATAGTGTTATATGGAACAAATAAATTAAACTATTTAAGGCATATACATATTAAATTTGAAATGTGAATCTTTGTCAAAAAGAGTTTATGAATTTAAGTGCATTTAACACAACTCATGAAGCAAAAGGTATGAAAAAGAAGGCTGGACTTTTGTGTTGGGTTGAGAAAAGGCCGGCCCATCTTAATCACACAGGTAACATGTGGACTGCGGAGAAAGGCCCACATAAAAAAGAAAATGAAAGCCCAACGTTTTAAACATTACGTGAATTAGAGCCTCTACAAACAGCTCCAACGGGTGAGGTTCTTTTACAGGACTCAAGAGGGGACAGCTCCACCCAAAAACTAATTTTTGAATGCTTTTATGCATTTCAGAAACTAACTTCTCCAATGTGAAAGGGAAAAAAGAAACTTAAATATAATTCTGATAATAACATTTTATCTCTTATTTTAGAAAGTTCATCGTTTCGGTCTATTCCTTAATTTACATCTTTTAATTTTTATTTAAATAAATTTCAAATCTAACATATTTTATAACTATTAAGTGCATGAGTACTTAAATGTATATTTTTTATTTTAATTTTAACTTTATTGGTCTTGCAAAATCATATAGATTTAGGTAGGTACACAAAAGCACTCCAAAGTTATTATGGTTAGAGTGGATATTTAACGTAATTTTATAATTTATTCCATAATAATATTCTAAAAAAATTCAAAGTATGATTTTTTTCTTAAGCAATTGTACTTCTGTAAACAATGTCACATAATTTGAGTGGTAAAATTTGTTAAGCAATGTTTGTAAGCAACTAAAAGTTTATTAGTTGAATTGAATGTAGTACTTTGGGCCGAGTACAGTATATCCCTAACCCTAACGTACATTTCTTCACAATAAAAACTTCTCGCACTAACTTAAGAAAACATTGGTTCGGTAACATGTTAATTAGGGTTTGCTTTGTATAGGTTTTGTGGTGACTTAAATCAACCACAAAAGTGCAATAAATCATTTATTCATCTATATATATATATATTCAATTAATATTTATTTATCTTTAATTTTAATAAAAATATTTGTTTGAAAAACAACTTTAAACGACATGTAAATAGGCACGTGGATAGATAGTATTAATTATAGGGAATTAGAAAATGATGAAAATAGTGTAAAAAGGAAGGAAACATATCTTGGTGCTCCCTGTCTTAGCTGTACATGAATTTATGAAGAACGTCGATGGGGACTGACCATGTTCAGTACCTGTCCTGATAGCAATATGGAGTTTGCTGATTGTCTGGTCGCCGCAAAACATGCGTTTTCATGTATTTATGACGGTTGGATCGCTCCATTGTGGTTATTTAGGGTTTAGGGTTATGCGGAGGTTATTTATTAGATATCCATTTTCAGAAGGAACTGCTGCAACTTGCATATACTTGTTCAAAATTGCTCTCCAATTCATGCATCTTTTTTCAATGGTGCAGCAAATCCTGAATATCAAATTAGGGAGAAGCCAAGTTAGGTTTTTCCTTTATTGGATGTGTTTAGCCAATGATAAAGACAGCAGATAATCATGTCAAATGCTTCATGATTTTGTAGGCTAATAAATAATTTGGGAATTCTCATTATAATAATGTCATTAGTTAGTGGACAACTTGGACTGCCGACTGAATTAACTTCCTCCGTCTCGGGCAGTTAGGTGGACCCCGCGTTTTCTGCTTCAGCTAATTTTCCACCCTTCTTTCTTACTGTCACACGATACATTGAATTCAATCTATAAATACATGCTAGGGTTTTTTCATTTTTTGTATTCTCAGGGTCGACAAACCTTGTTTAAAACTTTTCCTTTTTCTCCCAAAATATGTTGTCAAGTTCAATAAATTCAAAATTAAAGATAAAGAAAGATCCAAAATCAAACTATAGATGATATTTTCTCTTGTTTCTAAACGGAAATAAGAAAAATATGTCACTGTTTGGAGGGATGGTTATGCTGAATCTCTATCATCATGATAAGGACTCAACATATAAAAATCATACTATACTCTTCCTCGAGTGTACTCACAACCCAGAGCAACCATCAAATGTGAAATGAACAAATTTAATTTGTTTATCAGTTAAGGAAATTGTCCCTACCCGTGATACTAACTGAATTGTAACACTTACCCATCTGAGAGGCTGAGTTGCGGGATTTTCATGTTGTCGTTAGTGGAACGTTCAATTCTGAATCGATCATCTTCTTGTTCTTATCCTGTTGGATCAATTTGAGCTCATTAATCATTACATGCCGTCGGAGCAAAAGTAACGTCTTTCAGAAAATAAATAAATAAAATCCCTGTAATCCTTTCCAAATCTATTTAAGTCACCATGCAAAATTTAAAGCAATGAGACTTAGTATTGGGTTTACTTGGTCTTGTAGGGTTTAATCAGAGACAAATTATTCTCAACTTATATTGATGTTATACATATTTAAGATGACTTTTGTTTAACTTGTATTAAAAAAATATATATATTCAGTACCTGGAAAATTTATGAGAAAGAAAAAATGCGTTTAAGTCTTTTTCTATAGTTAATTTCAAGTTTTTTTTTTTTGATGGGCAACAATAGTTAATTTCAAGTTAACTAATGTAAAATATTTACTGACTTTATTAGCGATTAGTTATAGATCAGTGATTAATCTTTAATTTAAAACTTGATCAATAATTTTTAAGGAAAGTTTCTCCACCCATTTTTATTATTTTATTTTACAATATTCGAATTCAGGTTTTTGTTTAAAAATACCTCCCTAATTTTAATTCGACTAATGTTTGATGATTATAAATCTTTGGATGGTATTAAAAGCCATAAAAATTAGTAGTATATATGTTTGGTAATAACAAATGTAAAGTTTAATTGTTAATTGTTTTGAAAAAAATATTTTTATTCATATGTATTATTAGTCAAGTTTAAAATTATATTAATTATTTTTTATTAATCATATTTTATATTTTCAATATATATATATATATATATATATATATATATATGTGTGTGTGTGTGTGTGTGTGTTAAAAAAAAGATGAATCTAAGAGTGATTTTATTTTTTTTTAAAAGTCAAAATGATAAATATATTATTTAAAAAATAACAAAAATATTGAAAATTAATGTTTTTATTAATTTGTGTGACAAATTCTTAAACTTCTATACTTAAAAAACATAAGGGAGTAACTTATTTTGTTAAAAAAAAAAACATTATAGACTATCGAAAATTACTTGCTAATTAAAATTTATCAAAACATTTTATCATTATAATGTTACTCCTACTTATCAACTTAAAAAATATAAAATATATTTGTATCACAAAAATACTATACACATATATATTCAATTTTTATTTAATGCTAACAGGTATTTTCAACCCACATGGTTTAATTATTTAAAAAAATTTAGTAACACGAGGCCTCATAAAACACGACAATAAACGGTAAATAAGAAAAATGTTAAAACTTAATTATTCAATATTTTGAAAATTAAGACGAGTAATAAATGTTGTTTTCATTAACGAGTTAAAAAATCCCGAAAATATGGAAAGATTTGTTGATTTTGAGAAAATTGAATGATAACATTTCTTTCTTTAACAATTTCATTAATATTCCTCATGACACACATGAACAAGTTTTGTTAAAAGGATTGGTAACAAAATATGCGAATAAACTATTCCTTTTAATATGGAAGTATTATGTTCCATCGTGGTCTTATTTTAATAATGTAGTTACAAGCTCTTTTCCCTCCTTTTGTTGTTCCTTGCCGCAAAGTATATCCAGTGTTTATTTTAGTCGTTTAGGGTGGCGGTTGTTTTAGAGCTTAGAAGTACAAGTCAACATATTTACCACTCTGTCGGTGAGAAAAATTGTTGTTCCACCGGAATCTTAGTCACCACTGATGTCAACCACCCGTTTATCAGTTAAGAAGCTATCCCTCTTTAGAGACCAATTCAACAACATCATTAAAGGAACGTGTTTATGTTTTTAGCTCATTTTAATTATTGTTCCAAATTTTTTACACTTTTTCAGGTATTATATGATCAAAAATTGTAATTAGATGCCATATATCATCTATCCATTGTAATTTTATATTCCATTAATCCTACTATTTAAATATAAATAATATTAATGTTAGTTAATCTTATCTTCTAAGTTATTAAAGGAGTTTTAGATTCAAATAAAAACAAATATAAAAAAGTTGCGGTACAAACACAAGGAGGCGCCATAGGCCCACAAGCACTCCTTCTCAACCTGTTGCTGCCAAAAATATTTACGAGATAAGTGCGTCTTAGCCCTCACATGTGTGTTTGTTTTTTTCTTAATTATTTTAATTAATTATATATATCTATATATATGTAATACAATTTATCAGTGCTATAACGAGATATATAAGTATACTTTAAAGAATAAAAAGTTATTCGTATTTATAAAAAAAAAATTCAATAAAATAAACGTTGTGGGAACAAAAAATAATTTAAAATATAAGAATAGCTTTTGACATGAAGGAATTATTAGATCTTAATGGATAACTAAAGAGTTTAAAATTGATTGATTGCTGCTTTTTTAATATTTTTCCGTCGTTATTAAGTGAGAAGCATCTACGTTAGTGCATTATAATTAAAAATTGTAAATATTACGATGATTATTAAGAAATTCAAATGCTCAATATAATATTATTAATCTTAAATATGAGATATTTTAGTCCAATATTTTTATTTTTTGTTTGAAGCTGAAGTGATCATTGCATGTGATTTCTTAATAATTAATTAAATTGGTGAACTAAGAAAAACGCAGATTATAGCTGTCACAGAAGCAAACAAGGAAGAAATTTGAAGGATGCAACAGAGTGTTTTTTATTGCGTAGACGGAAAGTCTTCCTCTATTGGCACCCATCCAACCGTCGATTACCACCGACTTCTATCGTTCTTTTCATTTCATCCATTCGATTCTCCATTAAGTTAAGTGTCAACCCATCCACTAACATCATATTTCTAATAATTATCATTCCGACAAACAAACTGTTAACTAATCCCTTGTATAATTATTCACCAATATTTTATTATTCTAAATACCTTAGTAATAAATAATTCTCTTAATACTCGTTAATTATTAATATTTAATCATTATTATTACCAACTCAACATTATTACTCTCCATATATTTAACAATTTTAAAAACATAATAAGTATTTAATATATTATTTTATATTCAGGAATATTAAAATTAATTGAAAACATATCATTATCCCAATTGATTAATTATACCACTTTCAATCAAAAGTAAATTTCTCATTTTAGTCTTAATTTATATTTAAAAAATCGTATTTAACATACCTTTTAAATCTGCAAATGCTTTTTTTAATGTATATATTTTCAATTTGTAACCAATTATCGTTCAGCGGACGGTATATATTATTGAATTCTCAATTCTTTGCGTAATCAACTGTTTAGCAACGAAGCCACCACTTTACAACCAATTTGAACATTATTCACAATATATATATTGTGTGTGAAGAAATCATAATAATTCTTTGACAACATACACAAGTGGAAAGAGACGCACGAGAAAGAAGAATTATTTTCGTCCCACTTAAAGAAAATTTATCTTCCAAAACCAAGAAAAGAAAGACAAAATCTGATGCCAAGGAATAAAGAGAAGTGCACAATGAAAAAAAGAGAGAGGCAAGAATTAATTTCTAATTATTTTTCAAAAAAATAATTATTATTTTGTGTTGTTTGATTTTTTAAATATTTACAGATTTTATAATTAAAGTTTAAATATTTGTTATATTTTATTTGATTACTATATATGTAATTTTTAAAATACATTTTGATTTATTTTTGTTATCAACATTTTTATCGTAACAGCTAATGTGTTTTTCATTATATTATATAAAAATAAATAATTTTATAGTAGGATCAAATATAAAATAAAATAAAAAAAGAACTAAAGAGTCAATAAAATATTTATTAAAGACTAAATATAAAGTTGATAATTTTTTAATAAACCAAAATCACATGTAAGATATTAATCAATTTAAGATGCATTTATTTTCGAGTTATATTTTTTATTTCATTTTGATAGTGAAATATTATAAAGAAAAATTACTAATTAAAAATGTTTAAATATTTATAAATTAAATACAATTACAAGTTTTTAAAAATAATTAATAACTATAATATATATATATCTAATGAAACCTCTGTAGATCTAAGTATTGAAGATGAAAAAAGTTTGGATAAGAAGTAGAACACGAAAAGAGAGATACAGAGAGGTGTAACTCGTCCACGTCGGCAATCACAGTGGGCAGAAGAGGCTACGTGGACTGAATAAAATAGGGACAAAAATGGGGTTTAAATGGAGAGAGAGAGAGAGAGAGAGAGAGAGAGGGGTGTGATGGACTGTGTCGGCCATCTTTGGATTTATCTTAAAGAAAGCTCAACGTGGCGGCCGTACCAGACGACAGACTAGAAGCCAAGTGGGAAACTCATTCCCTTCACTTCACCCTCTTCTCTCCAATTCATTTCATAATAATATAATAATAATATCATTCATTTCACACAAACTATTTCCATTTTCCACCCTCCATATAAATAGAAACCAATATAACAGCAACATCGTTTCAGTGTCTTCAGGAGGGTATGAACACAATTTCCACGCAACACCTTTTCCCTGCAGTCCCAACTGCACACAAAAGTTATTATAAATACGTATAAAAAGAGTGATGGCCACACATAGATAGATAGATAGATACTGCCCAGGTAGTTGGTTTTGGAATAGGTGGTAGGTAGGTGCAGTATTGCCGTCCCAGATATGAAAGAAGAAGGTTTGGGAGATTGTTGTTCCTCCAATTCCACGATTACCAGGAACACCCAGAAACGGAAGCAGCAACAGCACCAAGACAAGCCATACAGAGGAATAAGGATGAGGAAGTGGGGGAAGTGGGTGGCGGAGATTAGAGAACCCAACAAGCGGTCCAGGATCTGGTTGGGTTCTTACGCCACCCCCGTCGCCGCCGCACGCGCCTACGACACCGCCGTCTTCTACCTCAGAGGCCCTTCCGCTCGCCTCAACTTCCCCGAACTGCTTTCCCAAGACGACGACGTTTCGACCCAACAGGGCAACATGTCCGCCGATTCTATACGCAAGAAAGCGACCCAAGTCGGCGCGAGAGTCGACGCGCTCCAAACCGCGCTTCAATCCTCGTCGTCGCACTCCGCTAATTCCAGCCACGTCAGCTCTGACAAACCAGACTTGAACGAGTATCCAAAACCCGAAGATTAGTTTTGACCAATCATGGGTTATGACATGAAATAGGGCTTCAACTTGCCCCTTTCTTCATCTATGTTTCAAAACCTTTATAATTATTGTCATATCATATTTCTGGGTACATATTTCCTATTCTCTTCCACTTTTTTCAAAGAACTAGAACGTGTAGGAAGAAGTAGACACACCGGAGATGAGGCTAACTTATTCGCGAGGCGAGTATGTTAAATTTCTCTTTTCGCCACAAATTTAAGGGGTATATACTTGATTCATTAGTTGCTCGCCTCATGAAGAACAAAGTTTAGCTTTTTTAACCAATCGAACGAGATCGTGTAACAGGTTTTTATTTTTTCAACGTGTGTATGCTCAAGTAGTAGTAGACTGGTAGCTATGTAGGTCTCTTTGATGGGGGCACACTCGTGGTCTTTTCTCGGGTCGGTGGTGTGTTGTAAACTTGGAATTTGTACGGACATATATATGCATGTATATGTATATAGATATCTGTTGGCTGGATAGGCACAATCGAATCAAATTAACCGTGTGTTCTGTTCTTTCAATTTTGCTTCATGTTTTGATGAATTCGATAACTTGATATCCATGCAGTGGATATATATGATTTCATATATAATGTTTGGAAGTTGTATAGGTTGTCTTGGGTGCTTAGGTTTGTGTGTGTGAACTATATAATATTCTCGCATTGTGAGTCATCTTGATGACTAGTCATAAAATGAGGAAACGATGGAATTGATGAGTGTGAAAGATGGCGAAGGGTGAATGAAGGGATACAGATAGGAACATCAGTGGCCCAACAAAGGCGAAGTAGTTTGAAAGAAAGTAACAAACACTAATGTTTGAGTTGTGGAACAGTAGCAACAAGTGGATATAGAGATAAGGAAGAATTGAGCACCAAAAGCACCCCACAAAACTTTATTATTTTAATTTTCTTTTCCTTAAAAGAACATGCGAGATAGGCGGAGAACAGTGTGGCTCTATCTCAAAGTGAGGTTGTCACTTGTCACGGTCATGGGAAAGAAGTTTAGGATACTTGCGTCTCATACACATTCAAAGCCTAGGCCCTCCTCCAGCTCTTCATCTTTTCTTTTCTTTTCTTTTTAATACCTTTCATCTTTCTTTGTTTTCCCCTTCTTATTCTCGCACACCACATACATTTCATTGAAAAAACCTGCACACAGTGTGAAACATTTCAACCAATAACGTCTGTGATGTGGTCCTATGATTTCCTCCCATTTTATTACTTAAATGTCTCAGCCACTAATACATTTGGAAATTATTTTCTTATATTTTTTTATTAAAAATGGAACAACTTCCTACGTGAAATGAAAACCAGGTAGCACACTATATGGTATTGTTTTTGTTTTCTTGTAGAATGTTGACGTTTCTGAGTTAACGTGTTAATTAATGATCAATGGTAGGTCTCATATGCACCTCTGACGTGTTATATGTAGAAGAAATTATGTTGAGATGGCTCTATATATGCGATTGTGTGGGAGTGTCCCTTTCCAATGATTGATTCCCCTTCGTCGAACTTCAAACTCCACTATGAATGAATGCAAACGCTTCCCCCCTTCTATAAACCACCACAAATACTTCTACTTCGTCGCTTAAACCCACTAATGTTGCTAGAAATAAACAATATGAATGTTTTATTTTTATTATTTGTTGCATAAAAAATTATAGTTTTATTAGTAAAGTAATAAAAAATTATTGTCATAATATTCATAAAATATTTTCTTTAATATGTAAATATTTATTATTAGATATCATATCTAGAAAAATAAGTCTTAAATAATTTGTCGGTCCTTCGTAAATTTTTAAATTTTGTATATAGTCCCTAGATACCCCCCATTGAGTTCTTAATAGAATTTTTATTTGTGTTCTGTTACATGTTAGTCCATCATTTTCCTCTTTTCTTATTTGACAGACGAAGTTTAGAAAAGATGAAGAACATGTGAAACAATCCTACATTTATAGATCTTCGTTTTCTTTAAATTTGACCTTGAATGAGTAAGTTTGAAAGAAACAGGGAATGTAAAATTAGTGGAAGAGAATCAGTATTATATATGTATAATGTACTAGGTTGAGTTGAATTGTTAAATTTTAAAACTCTTAAAACCCATTAACTAAGTGTATTAGTTGAGTTGGGTTGAGTATAACCCATTTACAACTCTATTTGCCTCGCATAAAACATGTCTGAAGACCACCGGCGATTCATGCTACTAAAGGAGATTGAAGATTTCTCATACCAAGTTAAAAAAAATGGTGACCATGAGAAGCACCAACTTTTGGATGCAAAGGGAAGAAAGGTCATAAAACAATCCCTAAAGCTTTGCTTTGATGGTGGGAATCCTTTTCTGAAAGAACCATCATCTCATTGAAGAAGACCTCTATGCATCATGCTATTAGTACTTCATAGCAATGCCCAAAAGCACTGTGATAAGGAGTATCCACGCACTTTAGATGCAGTTTTGGGCCTTTGTGGGCTTTTCCTTCTCCTGCCGTTCACCAAAAACATCTATTTGAAGCCGATGGCCCATCCAATGTCCATACTCACAAATAACCTAGCCCATCACTACAGATTTTAACGTTGGTCATTCAAATTTTTAGAAATTTTAATACTTAGATATGACAACAAGTATTTATGTGAGGAAAATTAGATTCAGATGCTGTAAAGAAAAGCGAGGTTCAGATGTCTAGTGTCCTCAATTCGTGAAGAAAATAAATTATTAAAAAATCTCTTTGAAAAAAATCAACAATTGTTAAATCCACACCAGTCGTAATTGTGAAAAGAATGTCAAATCAACCAGCAATACAATGTGACGTGCTAATTTGTAATTATCATATTTTATACAGTCACAAAACGGTGAGTTTATTTCGAAAAAAAGAAAAGAACCAAAGCTATGAAAAAAATGTAAATAACAAAAATAAAATTTAATTACATTTACAAAAGTTTAAAAGCATATATTTTACTTTTTAAATATTCTTATTTGTATTAAATAAATAAAATAGATTTTAACTATTATTTTCTGTCTACCCTCTTATGTTATGTTTTCTGAAGAAGAAATGAATCAGTATACATGTTCATATTTGAAATGGAAAAGGGGTCTAGAAACAATGTTGTTTCAGCTGTTAATGTTTGGAAAAAAAGTTAGAAAAGTCCAACTCAGTCCAATGATATGCAATTCGGGGGCCGACAGATTCATGGACTTATTATACAAAGCTATGACAGAAGGGCTGTAATAAATGGAAGCATGTGTGGGTATTTTGCAACGAAATCAAGACTTTGAAACACATGTTAGCTGGAAAACCTAAATCATACACTAAAAGGTATGAAAAGAGGAAGAGAATCATGAAAGGCTATATACGTAGCCTTGGTTCAATGGTTCATTGGTTCACTGGCATGGATCGATTAGAGGGAAAATCTTTCCTTGTCGTGATTGAAGGAAGTTGAGATAAATGTGGTGCAATCAGATACGAGATCTGTGTAATGTGAGGCCCAAAAACATGGTCTCAAGCTCATATTCTATCATTTCTCAACTTTCCCATCATTATCCTACCATTTCCACCTTCCTATCTATTCACACCTGGTTAATGGGATGATAAAAAAAGATTAAAAAAAGTCACCTTTTAAACCAAACTTTTCAACTTAATTTGAATAATGCCCAAGCTTATTAAGAATCAACACAACTGCCCAAGTTTTAACATGAACCCAAGTTAACAATCATAATTTAAGAAAAATTATTGAAAATTAAATTTCAATAATTACTCGTCGCAATAATTCGTTCAATCAAAGGTGCAACTTCACGTCACGTGTACACTGATGGGGATTTTTTAGTACTCTTAGAATATGCACTCTATATTTTAAAAAAATGGCAAATATAACAAATTGACGGTGCAAAAAATACTGTCAATTTGCCGGTACCTTAAAAACATTTCAAGTACAAATGAGCTGGTACATAGCATAATACAACTGACGGATTTTGTAATATTATTGTTATTACTATTATTATTATTATTATTATTATTATTAAATAATAATAATTTAAAAACATTTCAAAGTACAAATGAGCTGGTACATAGCATAATACAACTAACCAATTTTGTAATATTATGATTATTATAATTTTTATTACTATTATTGTTAAATAATAAATTTATTATCTTCTTCAATTATTATATTTACATCAAGCTTTTGGAGTTCCCTTTTTGTTTTCTTTGCATTTTCGCTTTAAAAGTGATTTTCTCCTATGTTGAAAGGGAGGCACTGATCATACTTTTTTACAAAGCTACCTTCTGCAATGATATTTACTTGTCCTATCACATGTCCTTATAAAAACACATGATAGGTAAATCTTAAAGTTAGTGGTGGTGATCTTTTTTTTTTTTTTTTCTTATACTTGTTCTTGTTCCTTTTTCCTTCCTCAAATAATGATACTTGCCTAAACCTTATGTTCTTATGTAAACTACTGTACAATACTATTTTGTTCACATTTCAGGTTGTATCAAATCTCACATAACATAATGTGTGCATGTATGTATCTTTTCCTCCATTTGTTATTGCCATCCTCTAGAATGTCATCCAAATGCTATTTATCCCAACCCAACTTGGATTTTCTTTTAAGTCACTTTTTTTTCGCCAATCATAGCTAAGATTGAATTGGTATGTCAACTATTGTTCTAGAAATGTTGATGAAGGGAGTAGGACTATAATAATAAATAAAAAATATTACGACATTGATGACATCCGATTTTCAATATTTTTAAACAGAATATTAAAAAATCGACGTTTACAACTTGATTTCTAATTAATATTTTCGTGGGTTGAGTCTGCTGAAGTGGATCACGTAACCTAGTGTATTAAATTTTACAATATTTTTTTAATAAATAAATGAGTTAATGTAATTATTTTGTACAATTTAATTATCGAACAATTAATCCGTAAATATTTATTCATCAACAAATCCATCTTAAAAAAAATAGAGAACTCTATTCGATCGATGACCAAAACATAGGATGTGTAATGGAAGTCATTGCAACCTGCAGCAATAAAAAAAAAAAATTAGGATTATGTTACCAAATTTGTCAGAACTATAATTAAAGGGGTGTTTAAGGGTTTGGTTATTTTCGTAACGCAAATGGTATTGCCTTTAACAATTTTTTAATATTAATTTAAATTTAATAAAAATTATAAAATTACGATGAAGAGTAACTAAATAAATAAGAAAAAAGCAAAAAAAAATGTATTAATAATAAATGCGGTGGCATTATTAGCCGTAAGAGCAAAGTTTGCGTTTCGGGAAAACCTGTTGATGGGGAGTAAAGGGTTTGAAAATGACATCCAAAGGAGTGAAACAGGAGAAACTCACGCGCAGCTTGCAGGTGCATGATTGCGATGTGATGATTGGCCATCATGTATTTTGACTGGGACACGTGTGCAGATTGTGTGTCTTGTGCAACGAATTTGAATGGCACGTGCACAAGTAAATGTGTTGGAATTACATGAATAAATTGGTTTAGTGACGTGCCTCCCTGCCCAGCTGGGTTGCTTAAAGAAGAGTTGCCAGCTGCACTCAACACTCAATCATATGGTTGGCGGGAAATGAGAATTATTGCCAAACCCCACTTCTCTTTCACCTTTTCTTCGTTCTATTCAGACCATATATGCCATTCTGCCTACACTACACCTGAACTTTATAATATGTTATAATACTTTACAAATAAAAAAGAGTTTTTTAGAAATACAATTCAGTTTGAAAATATAGAAGTGAGGTTGGAATGGATTATGTATAAAGCAGTAGTGGACATGGGAAATTGAAGTAGCATGAGTTCCCGAAAGAGTGGGAAATGGGGGTGAGGGTGAGGGTGAGGGTGAGGGTGAGCGAGTGAGAGTGAACGTTGGACATTCTCTGGCACTTGAAAAGGACAAAGACGGCATTCATGATATTGAGGGTGAGGAAGTCCCGTTCGTCCGTTTTCATATAAAAATCCGTATCCTGAAAAGCAGATCCAAGGGCTTCCATTTTCAAGTTTTGGGATTGGAGGAATCTTTTTGCATTTCAAAGAGAGAGAGCCAAAGAGGCCACCGAAAAGCATGGATACCTTATCATGAAAGCAAGAAAAAAAGACCCGATTTGACGGGCCAACCCACACGCACAAATCTCCATCCCCCACCCTTCTCCGCACGCGCTCATTCAACTTATTTTATATATTTAAATACTAACAAATCTAAATTACTTTTTCTTTTATTTCTCAATTTACTTTTAGTATTTTGGATAACTCAACTTCTCCACCCATCTCTTTTATGACAATACCATTTTTTTGCAACTATTTCCTTTTATATTCCTCATTTAAACACACATTATCTATCTTAAAGAAAAAGAAGAAAAAAAAACTCTTTTTCTTCATATCCAAAATCTTACAAGATACTTAAATCTTATTTTTAAGACTTCCACCGTGTCACATCAATATATTCAATAAAAACTCTTATATAACCTAGGTTTTAGATTGAACACCCTTGTTGAAACTCTTATATCGGAGATGCTCTAATTGTTTGAGCTCACCGCATTCATTGAGAAAAAAATAATAATTAATTATTGCATTGATAAAACAAATTATTTAATATCCTTATTGAATTAATGTGATAAATTTGTGAAATTTAACACATTGATAATTATACATAATAGTAATATAAATTAAAAAAACATTCCAAATTATGCTAGATTTGTAAAATTAGTTTTTGAAAGGATGGAATATGAAATTTATTTAAAACATAAAATTAATAGAAAATCATTAAATAATTTACTAGGAACATGTTAGTAGAATTTTTCGATAATCACTAGTTATAGTAATAATTTACTGTGTACGGTGGTACTGTGCTTTTCCTTTGAAATATATTTGAGTTTTACTTTTGATTGGGTGAGTTGCATTGGCTTTACTTTAATTTATAGGTGGAAATTCTTAAGTCAACTACATCTCATCATTTGGTCTAGGTTTTTGCAGGCAACACCTCATTTCCCACTTGGTCCACTTTACTAAACCGTCCTCTAATCCTCCTCTATATCATCTCCCTGTCATCCTATCTTCTCTCCACCACCACCACCACCACCATGAAGGTGCATCACTTCACACGTGCATTCTGGGAGCACGAACCTTTCCTCACCCTTGGTTGCAAGCGATTACGCCCTCTTGCTCCCAAGCTTCCCAACAACACCGACACCACAACTACCACCACCACCGTCCCTTCTCTTCCTTTCGACCTCAAGAGCTTCATCAGACCAGAAAGTGGCCCCAGAAAACTTGTTTCCTCTCTCGACAATAAAAACGATCCACCTTCACCCCAAGGCCAGGTCCGTATTATTATGTAATTATCAGTATTATTACTATCATATCACTTCACTCCTTTCTTTATTTAATCTAATTTCCTCTCTGCCATCATATCCATGCATTAATATTATAATTCACGTGCGCTTATAGATGTACCGCGCACTACTATATACGTCGCACATGCATTTCATTAATTATAGGTTATTTTGAGAGAGGAGAATTTGATGTTAATTGTTTGTTACCGTGATTAATGCACAGGTTGAAACGCATCCAGGAGGGACGCGGTGGAATCCGACGCAAGAACAGATAGGTATATTGGAGATGCTGTACAAAGGAGGGACGAGAACTCCAAATGCTCAACAGATAGAGCAGATCACGGTTCAGCTAGGAAAGTACGGAAAGATCGAAGGGAAGAATGTGTTCTATTGGTTTCAGAATCACAAAGCACGCGAGAGACAAAAGCAGAAGCGCAACAGCCTTGCCTTTTCTCATACTCCTCGAACTCCCACAATTCATACTGTTGTTACTTTAGAGACAACAATGGTATGATGCAGTAACCTAGTACTGTACTAGTAGTAATAATACATTATATCGTATACGAGATTTTGTTTTAAATTAATTTAATGGATTATTGCAGGGGGAAGTAGTAGAGAGAGACGATGAGGAAGGTAGTCCCTACAAGAAGAAGTGCAGGAGATGGGTGCTTGATTGCTTAGAAGAGCAAAGTATGTCATCATCGTCCCTGTGTGAAGAGGATGAACATAGAACTCTCGAGCTTTTCCCATTGCACCCGGAAAGAAGATGAAGGGGTTTGAGAAATTGACCATTAATTCATGATTTTGCTTTGCTTTAATTCGGAATCCAAGCTGATGAATGAATGTGGTTTAATTTGCTTTACTTTCTTTTTTCTTTGTATTGGAAAAGAAGAAAGACAAAGTGGTCTCGTGGTCTCTGATATGTACTCTTCCACTTAATGCTATTTCTGACTTTGGAAACGAACCAAAGCGATTTGTCTCCCTTTATTTGTTGATTTCAGCTACATGGGTGTGGCTTTGAAAACGATGGATCCTTTTGACTACAGGAACAAATAAATCAAACGAAGCTTTTAGGTGAAAAGGAGAAGCGACGGACGCACAAGTCCACGCACTACTCCTTCCTAATTCTTCTTCTTCTTCCTAATTCTATCTTTTCACACTTTTAGTTTCAAATTGAAAAAGCATATAAGGGGTCCTCCTGTAGCCGAAATCTTGTAAAATAATCATCTTAGATACTCCACTCACCCGTCATAAATCAGACTTTCATAAAGGAGGCCGCATCAAGTATCAGAGGGTATATTCATATATTGATTTTTTCACCATTGACATGCAAATTTCTTTTTACAACATATAGTGCCACGTAGGGCCGTAAGAACCAGACTTTGGAGGGAAAGGAAGACCAACAATTTGAATGTACAATTCCCGATCAATTTAAGAATTTCCACTGAGAAAAGAAAAAACTAACCTTATTCTCACAAGAATTTGATCACATTCACAACCATATATATATATATATATTAATTGGATTAGTTTAATTTTTATATTGAAAGTCAATCCAGAGTATGATAAAATTTACTTAAAGAAATTTTAAATTTGTTCTGCTTAACTAAATTGTAAAAATTAAAAAATTTGATTGATAATGAATGAAATAAATTATATTAATGATGACAAATTTTAAGTACCACAGTTAAAGATTTTGATGTTTTGTTAGCATGAAGAAAGAATAACTGCAAACTCTAACAAAGCTATTATTACTTTAAAAATTTCTTAGAAGTTATATATTACTTAATTAATAATTCTATCAGACTCTCTCCTTATTAATCAGTTGATTAATTTAGTTCTCAACTATATATTTTCGTATACACAATAATTAGTTTGTTTTAAAGAACTTTTTATAAATGGATTTAGGTTTGTTTTCATGTATGCTCTTGGTTCTCTCATTTTTTAAGGTGTTCATATATACTGTTTGTAAGCCAAATGGTGGTTGTTGCGTCGGTTCAGAGGAGTGATACAAATCCGTTATCGCCGTCGGTTCAGGACTCCGTCAACAGCTCAGCGAAGAATTAGGTTCGATTTGAAAGAACATTGGCCAAATGATGGCCCGCTGTTGTCAATGCCAATAGCTCCGTTTTTGAAGCTTATGAGCAGGAGGAATACAAGAGGGAGGCTTACAGAGTGGTTCCAGTTTTTTTCTTAGTTTCTTTTCCTCTTTTTATTATGTTTTTGGTTTACTTGCAAAACCTTTTATGAAGGAAATATAGGATTAAACGAAACAAGTTAAGGCTGTTTGTTTGTGGCTGAGAATTTGGGATGTCACCTCTCTTTGTAGTTTTGGGTCAGATGGGTTATTAATTAGAGTTGTATTGGCAGACCTTGACTCTGGGTCGTACTTCACATACAGTAAAAAATTGCATTCACAATCAACTACTAACTATTTGTCATGTGGTTCAAGTGCAAGATTGGATAAGTTAGAAGTTGAGGAAGAAGATGTTTAGTATGTTAGTTTTGGATATTTCTTTCAGAAGGAGGAAAGAAAAGAACCTGAGAAATAAAAAAGTTAGTGAACAGGGGAAGTTCAGCAAGTGAATTAGTGCACAAAAGGTTGTGAAGTGGAACGAGTCTTTCAATTTACTTCTCTTGGTTCATGCTTCATGACTTAATTTGATGTGTATGTGCTAATAATGTTGTGGTTGTTCAGACAATGAGAGTGACTTTGATTACGTAAAAGGGAGTGAGAAGTGTCCCTCACAGTTGGGGGAAGTGAAGAAGGAACGAGAAACATGTTAAAGTGGCAAAATGCAGTCTCCAATTGTTTTGTCAAGCTAGATTGGGAGAAATTAATATATGAAAACCTCAAAAACATATTCATGCTTCAAATATAGATTTTAGCTTTGTTTTGTGTTTGAAATAAGAAGGAAGAGATTTTAACTTTGTCTCTCAAAAATAGATTCATGCTTCAAACATAGATTCATTTACGTCTTTCAACTATTAAAAATATTTTTGAAAAACACCAATGAGGAGTTGTATAAATAAATAAAGTGCAAAGGAAAGCAATTACCCTACTAGGCCTAGGACTTTCAAACACGAGACCCTTCTTTGACCCAGTTCATTTTTTATTGGGTCGGGTCAAATGAGCCCATCTCGTATGCTGCATTATTCACATTAAATTACATCTTTTTATAAATTACAATGCAAATTGATAACAAGATTTGGTGCAAGTTTTATTGCCATGAACAACAAAATGGATTTATGTTTACGATAGAAAAAAGAGTAACATAGTTAAAAATATCATAAAACAATAAAACTTTTTTGGTAAACTCAAATATTTATGTCATCTTTAAAATATATACACTAGTGTCCCATCCATTTTTTTCAACTTATTCAGTATAAGTTATTCTAATTAAAATAAATTGTTACAAAAATATATGATTTTTCTATGTCAATAGGATAATGTGTGAATCATGTATATCAATTAACTATTTTTGTTGGTAGATAAGAAAAATATTTACCCTATTAATAAAATTATTTAATATTAGTATGATTAGTACAAATAAAAATTATAAAAGAAGTATAATATAAAATAATTTACACCAAGAATATATTTTGATTAAATTAATAAGAGTAACATTAATCATTTTATATATTTTTTGTTAAAATCTTCTTAAAATAACATTTATTATTCATGTTAATAATATATATTAAATATAAACTCTAAATCCTAAATTTATAAATCTAAAACTAAATTTAGATAATATATAATATATTTAATTAAATTATTTATAATATACATTAATTATTGAAATAAAAAGTTTTCTTATAAATTTGAGAGACATTCATCTTAAAATTTATAAATTAAAAAATATAATAAATTTACTAAATTTTATGGTGTTACAAAATATTTTTTCTTTAATATGTTCAAATAAATATAAAGGACATCAACAAAAAGAGAAAATATAGTTAATAAATTAATTGAATTGAAAAAGTGAAAGACCCTCCACTTTCTAATTTGAATATTTTAATTTATATAACTATTATACCGTCTCTGTTAATATATATAAAATACGTATTATCAATTCCTTTTCTCTCAAATATTCTAACAATTAATACAAGTTATTATATATATATATATTATAAAAAGATTACAAAGGATTGGATAAATAATAAATAAATAAAAATGGCAAATTAAATTTAGAATTCACACTCACTATTTTGTAACTAGTTGACTTCTATGAAAGTCACACGGTTGAGTAGAGCCCCCCTGCGGTGTTCTCCACCGCATGGAACAAACTATTCTCCGGAGAAAAAAAATTCCCTTTGTATGTTTTTTTTTGCGGCAGAAGTTCCTTATAAATACTTGCTCCGGACTTAACTTTTCCGATACAGTGATATACTTCATCCATTCAAGTTGTGCTTGAATTGAAGCTATTACCGCATTCAGTTTTTTAGTTTTCAAGAAAAAAAAAAAAAAAAAGAGATAGCAATGGCACAAGCTCCTGCGGAAGACCATTTTTTCAACACGGCATTGTACGTTGGGGATCTTGACAGCAACGTCACCGAAGATCAGCTCTATGATCACTTCAACGTGGTTGCCCAAGTCGTTTCCATTAGAATTTGCAGGGACTCTTTAACTCAGAAATCCCTCGGTTACGGCTACGTCAATTTCAGTAACGTTCAGGATGGTTAGTTTCTTCTTGCATTCGTAAGATTACTCGCTTGTGTTCTTGGGTTGATACAATTCTTGGCGTTTGTTCTTGCATAGGATTGATCTTCGCTTTTTTTGTTGCATTGCTCGGTGTAGTTGCTTTGTAGTTCTTGCGTTGATAGGACTAATGGTGGATGTTGTTGTTTATGACTATTTTAACGTTCATCACAAATCGTAACTATCATGCAGCCGCAAAAGCATTGAATGAGCTAAATTTCAGTGTGTTGGAAGGCAAACCCATTAGGGTAATGTACTCTAATCGGGACCCTACTCTTCGTAGGACTGGTGCAGCTAACCTTTTTATAAAGGTGCCTTTTGCAGATTCTTCCCCCTTGATGAGTATTATTGAATCTTTTTCTGCTTGCTCATTGAATCTTGTAATTTCTTGATTGATGGTGCAGAATTTGGATAAGTCAATCGATCACAAGGATCTATTCGATGTTTTTGCGACTTTTGGAAATATTCTATCTTGCAAGGTTGCGAGGGATGCCTCTGGCGTGTCTAAAGGTCATGCTTTTGTGCAGTTTGATAACGAAGCCTCTGCAAAAGAGGCTACTGACAGGTTAAATGGCATGCTGCTCAATGATAAGAAGGTCTATGTGGGTCCCTTCATGCGAAAGAAGGATAGAGAGGCTGTTCCTAGTGGTGACGCAAACTTTAGTAATGTTTATGTAAAAAACCTGTCGCATAAAATAACGGATGCTGAGTTGGGGACAATTTTTGGAGAATATGGACCCATTACTAGTGCTGCAGTGATGAAAGATGCAGAAGGTAGATCAAAAGGTTTTGGTTTTGTCAATTTCACAAATGCTGCTGATGCTGCTAGAGCTCGGGACGCTCTTGATGGAAAGACTTTTGATGGTAGGCAGTGGTATGTTGGAAAAGCGCAGAGAAAAACTGAAAGGGAGCTTGAGCTGAAAGAGCGTCATGAGCAGAATTGGAAGCCTCAACCTTATAAGCAAGGTACAAACTTGTATATCAAGAACTTGGACAGTAGTATTGGGGATGAAGAACTCAAGGAAATTTTTTCTGGGTTTGGTACAATAACCTCATCCAAGGTGTGTGAGTATGGTTCTTCGTTTTGTTCGTATCTGCATTTGTCAAATCTTCATCGTCGTAAAGCGTGTTTATTTTTGCCTGACATGCACAGATTATGCGAGATCCAAATGGAGTGAATAAAGGATATGGATTTGTTGCATATACAAATCCGGAGGACGCAAATCGGGCTGTAAGTATAAAAATATTAGGGACTATCCTTTAATAATTGACTAGGAGCTTTATTGCTCATAAACAAAATCTGTTAATACTTGTAGCTTGCATCGATGAATGGTCAAATGATTGCTGGCAAACCTCTCTATGTTTCCCTTGCAGAGAAAAAGGAAGATAGAAGAGCAAGGTTAGAGGTAATATACTATGCAGCCACAGGTCGCAGTTAACTCTATGCTTTATTATAATCATGTTCTGGTCACCTTTAGGAATAAAATTTCCCAAATCCCAATTGGGTAATATTATTAACGTATTTTATGCAGGTACAATTTTCACAAATGAGGATTGCTGAGATGAGACCACAATTTTCACTAGGTGCACCACCTCGAATTCTAACTTACCCTATGAGGCCTCCTGAGATGACACCACAATTATTGTATGGGCAACCACATCGAGCAATCATAACTCAAGTAATTAAAAAAACTTGTTATCGCTGGTTTTTCAGTTTTCATTTTGATGATGTCATATTATTAGGAGACCTCCGTCTTGTGAATTTCACCTTCTATATTAGCTTGTGAATTCTTCATGGTTCAGTTGGTCTTGCGTTTTTACTCGTGCATAACCTGCACCCGACCTACATTTTAAGTTTTAATGATTCAGTTGATTGTGATGTATTCTGTATTTCTGTTCCTCCTGCATTGGTGATGTGTGTTGCAATATTAAATGAACATTTGATCTCCATTACAGACTGCATTTGGTTTCCAGCAACAGTTTTTCGGTGGAGGGACGGGTCCAGCGCCAGTCTTCTATCCAGTTCTTCTGCCGCCGCCCAGAGGACCCCAAGAAGCAGGTCCTATGCGATTGCCAATTTTACCCCAACAGGTCTTATTCTGCATTCCTTTGGTGATTCCCTTGTATTTTCCGTTCTCTATTGCTGATGTGGATACTTGTTGCTGTGGTTTTCAGATGGGTCCAAGGGGACCTATTTATCATAATCCTCCTCCTGCCCCCAATGCTCAAAATATTCCTCCGGAACCGAAAGGAACAGCTGAAGAAATGCCCCCTTTTATTGGCACTGGTCAGCCAATGCCAATTCAGGCCCTGGCAGCAGCCGTTGCCAATGCTACTACTCCTGATCAGAAGAGGATTGTAAGACCTGTTTCTGGCATGAGTTTCAACACATTTGGGTTGAGTACTAATTGTCTTATAAACTCTCTTGTGAATGGTTTTTGCAGCTGCTTGGGGAAACTTTATTCCCGTTAGTAGAAAAGCTGGTGCGTGATGCAGCACCAAAGGTTACTGGTATGCTTTTGGAGATGGACCATGCTGAGGTATTACATCTGATTGAGTCACCAGATGCTCTCGACACAAAAGTTACTGACGCCATGTATTTGTTGAGAAAATTTGAAGAGATCAAACAATCGATCGACCAATTGACTGTCTCTGAATGACAATCCACAGTCTAAGACTCTGTATGTCAGTTTACAGAAATTCAAACAGTCGTATTTTTGTGTTTGTGGCTTTTTCTAGTAGGATTAGTAAACACTCATTGTCGTAGCTTACTGATAGCTGTTTGCTTTTGTTCTCTTTAATACTCTACTCAGTTTGATACTTTTGCCCAAGTTTTCTTTAAAATAAGCGTAGATTTCAGCTTTTAACTGCCTTTTCATGCTAACTTTAATTTCCCAAGTTTGAAAGTCTGAAACCATGGCTTCCTTTTTAGTTTTCTATTCTCTGATAGAAACTGGTATATCATATATAAATCTATTAGGAAAAACTTTAATCGTATAGATTCTCTTTTAGACCTATGTGTAGTTTTTTAATGGAAGAGAATAAAGAAAACATAAATACTCAGAGTTCCTGCAGGTGAAACTTTTTTAGCATTCTATCGAGGCGGCTTAACGGGTAAATTGACTAAAAGTATTGTATTTTACTTTATTTATTTTCAAAATGGTAAAATTAAAAAAAAAAGTTTGGATAAGGTTAAGTTGTGATCTAATATACGATTTTACTGTAAAGAAATTAAAGCCGTACATAAATAGATTATTTATGATAATTTTGTTTAAGTTGTGTTTAATTTAAAAATTTATTAAATCTTTTTAATTGAAATTATTAATTGATGGAAGATTTTACTTCAATTTTTTTCATATTAAAATTGTCAGAGGAATTTAATTTAATTTTTTTATACTAAAGTTATTAATTGATTGATGGTTTTAATTTATATATTTTTATTTTTATTTTTATTTTTAAATTTTTATTTAATACTTAAATAATTAATAAAATAAATAAATAAATATTATTTAAATGTTTATAATATTAAATAATTTTTAAATATATTAAATTTTTGAAAAGAAAATATGAATTTGTTAATAAAAAAACATATATTATAAGAAAAAAAGAAATTTTACATTTTCATTATTAAAATGGATAATTATCATAATGACTTTTATTTAAGAAAATAATATTTTCTTTTTACTAATTTGAAAGAGATTCATCTATATGACAAAATGAATATTTAAAATATTTTTATTTAATATATTAATATTTTTATTTAATATTTAAATATATTTAAAAATTATTTAATATTATTATTATCTAAATAATAATTAATTATTTTTTATTTTAATAAATATTAAAATCAAAATTTTATTAAATAAAAAAATAATTTAAAATATATAAATTAAAGATTAACAATTTTAATAAAAAAAATTAATTACAGTCATCAATCAATTAATAATTTTAATATTAAAATAATCAATTAAAGTCATAATATGAAAAATAACTTAAAAAAATAATCTAAATAATATATTCAAATACAATTTAAAAAAAATTAATAAATCATATATGTAAATATAATTTAAAAAGAAAAAAAATTAAAATTATCTTTTAGAACATGAAGTCGTTTTTAAATATAAGACTTACTCGTAACCAAAATTTTTAAAAAATTTATAAAATTTGAAAATAATGAAAGCAAATTTTACTAAAATAGGAAATTGGGCGGCTTAATGATGGAGAATGCAACTAGTGGATTATTATAAACATTTTTTTATGATATCATAAGCAAAGTTTTGTTCAAATACCTATCCAATTAATGGTTTAATTAAATAGAATCATACTCCACACCAATCTAAAACATGGTTTTTTCTACCTCATCTCTATCACCCGTACATGTATGTCCATATCACTTGCTTATTTATGCAAAGAGTAACGATTCATTGGTTCAGAGTTTGCAAAGGAAATAACATCTCTAAGCTATCTGCAACACAAATAAAAATTTGTGTCAATCTGAATCATGATTACCCCTGTTGTTCGGCGCATTTCAGAATGTTTCGTTAAACCAAATGGTTTAAACCATGTGTCAAACCAAATCTGTTATTTAACACCTTGGGATATTGCTAAGTTATCCACGCACTATATCCAAAAGGGTCTACTGTTCCAAAAACCTGCAACACTTGTTGATCAGCATGATTTCATAGAGAATCTGTTGGAGAAGCTCAAGCACTCTCTTTCCCTCACCCTCTTTCATTTCTATCCATTGTCTGGTCGTCTTGTCACCACCAAAACCCAAAACCCTCCGTCCTACGCTGTTTTTATTGATTGTAACAACAGTGATGGAGCTAGATTCATCTATGCAACTTTGGATTTGACCATATCTGACATCCTCTCCCCCATTGACGTCCCACCCATTTTTCAATCCTTCTTTGACCACAACCACGATGGTCACACCATGCCGTTGTTGTCCATCCAAGTCACTGAATTAGTTGATGGTGTTTTCATAGGTTGTTCCATGAATCACGCTGTCGGCGATGGCACTTCGTATTGGAATTTCTTCAATACATGGTCTCAGATCTTCCAAGCTGAACCCCAGGCCGATGAATATGGTGTTCCCGTCCTACGCCAACCTATTCACAACCGCTGGTTTCCAAACGATTGCAATCCACCAATCAATCTTCCTTTCAAACATCATGACGAGTTTATCAGCAGATTTGAAGCACCCTTCTTGAGAGAGAGAATCTTCCATTTTTCAGCAGAGTCTATTGGAAAACTGAAAGCAAAGGCAAACTCGGAGTCCAACAGTAATACCACGAAAATCTCTTCATTCCAGTCATTATCAGCACTTGTTTGGAGATCCATAACTCGTGCATGCTCCCTACCATATGAGCGAAGAACAAGTTGCAGGTTAGCTGCAAACAATCGATCAAGAATGGAACCGCCTCTACCTCATGAATACTTTGGAAACTCAGTTCATCAGGTGAGTGCCGAAACGACAGTAGGGGAATTACTGGAGAATGATCTCGGATGGGCAGCGTGGAAGTTGCACCTGGCTGTTACATGGCACAATGACAGAGAGGTGTTGCAATCACTCCAAGAGTGGTTGCAGTCTCCAGTCATCAACCAACTTGGTCAGCCCATGGACCCGTACGTTGTGCTCATAAGTAGCTCACCCAGGTTCAACATGTATGGGAATGAGTTTGGAATGGAGAAAGCAGTGGCTGTTAGAAGTGGTTATGCCAACAAATTTGATGGGAAGGTGACATCATATCCAGGTCGTGAAGGAGGGGGAAGCATCGATTTGGAAGTTTGCCTTTTACCACATATAATGAGCGCACTGGAATCAGACACGGAGTTTATGAATGCAGTTTCGGTTTTCAATTCCTTACAATAGTATAGTTTGCTAATGTTCCCACTGTTTAACAGTTGAATTGAATAGGTCAAATGTGATTACCTGTTTGTCATTTTAAAAGCTTAAATCTTTGGTGAAGTGATGCCTTCATCTTTCAAGCAATATTAATATTAACATTTGAGTATGTATATTTTATATTATATTTTATGGCAGATCTTCCCCAGCATCAGTAATATATATGCTTCACCATTGATCAACTTGTAATCTGATTTTTTATTTTTTAAAGGCTGACTTTAATTCTTTTAATAATCAAATAATTACTTTGTTACTCTTAACCAATCCCATATGTTCATGTGGCAAACTAGAATTGGAAGTTCAAAAGTAACAAGTATTGTATACCCACTCATTGATATAATCCATCATGCACAATGGTACATATCACTTCTTTGTTTCCTTCCATTTTTTTTCCTTATCAACACGGTTTCTCCTTTTATTTGTACTTTTATATTAAGTTTATTATTTTTAAGGAGAGTATGTTGGTTTTATATCCATTATTATAATATTATGAGGATAATATTTTATTTTTAAGGTATTATTTCTTTAAAAATATTATCTCAATAAATTAAATGATAAATAAATATAAACTATTTTACTCTGAGAAGTTATGTCATGCAGACTCATTAACTCTAATACAAACTCATTAACTCTAAATTGAAATGAGAGGAAGTTCCTGAGTTTTTGACCGTATTATTTACTTAATTGAAAAGTTTAGTTTTCACTCATATCAATATAGACGTTTATTTACATTATAAATCAATTAATACTATCTTATTCATAAATTTTTATGTAATATTAAAAAATTAATGATGAAAATCTATAATTAAATAATAAAAAATTTAAACTATCATTAAATTAATTTAAGTTTTTGGTTTCTGACGTATCATTAAATATTAATTCATTATTTAAAAACAATATAAGCTTTTATTTTCTAATTGTTAAAATTTTAGTACTAAGTTTAAAATTCAAACTACGCAGATTATTTTCAAGTTCACTCGGTTATTACAATAGTTGAATAGTGATGAATACAACCTCCCGGCGACAAAAATAATAATTAGAGGTGATATATAATGTTCAATAACAAACAGTAATAACTATATATGACTCTAAATAATTAACAATGCGCATGAAGAAAAAATAATATAACTTATGGTTTTATCTAACATTTTTTTAAAAAACGTTTATTTGAAGATTAATTAAATAATTATTTATCTAAAATAATATTTTAAAAAACTTATTTAATTATATTTGATTCAAATATATTTTGTTTTAAAATTCACCTATAAGAATCAATCATATACGTTCTATTTGATTATGCAAGAAGTGTTGACATTTTCACTAATCTTTTAGCTTTTCGCAATTTTCATCACTATTTTCATTTTCTTATAATCTAATATATTGATTTCTAATTATTTATCCTTTCTTTTCACTTTATAAATTAATATTTTCAAAATCGGATAAATTACTGAATCAGTAAAAATATGAATTTAATATTTAAAAGTTCAACTAAATCTAATAATTTTAATAAAATAATATTTTTATAATATAAAAATTATATTTTTTTACAAAATAAAAAATAATAATAAAGATTTCTGTTATAATTAAAATAAAAATTATAAATATAAAATATATTAAAAAAAGTAGAATAAATATTTTAATAATACTATAAAATAACTAAACGTAATGGATATAAATAAGAAAAAAAGTAAAATATATAATACCTTTTATAAAAAAATTATATTAAAAATATTATTTTTTTAAATCGATTTGACCCAAAAATTTAATCAATTTTTTAATTTATCTCAATTTTATTTCGATTTAATTAAAATATAATTATTTAAAAATAATATATCAATTTCTAATCTTATTTCCAATTAGATCGATTAAACCGTTAAAATAAATTAACTAATATTCATTTATACTCCACGGAAACGCAATAATGATGATGACTTCTTTCTTCTAACAGTTATTTTAGTGATGCATTTCTGGTTTTATATCAGACTATGTAAGAAAAGCCTTCAATTTAACTGGGAAAATTTTATAATTTATATATTATATATATATATATATATATATATATATATATATATTTATGACTTTCATTCTCCAAATTTAATTATTATTAAAGAATATGTTATTTAACCTTAGTAGTCATGGTAAGGACGTACTCAAATCCATGGTCATGAAGATGTTTACTATGAAATCCATCATGGAAATCTAATATATACACTTTTATGTGGCAAATGATGTCTGGTCAAACATCTCTTATGGTGCAGTGAATCATAAAGTTAATTTCTGAAGACTTGAAACCATAATAGTCAGTGAAATTTTTCTTCAAGATTAATAACCTAAAAAGGCGGTTTCTGAAATTTTATTATCCATTAATAATTATTTTCAAACCAGTCCAAAGTTTGAAAGTCTGAAATCATGGCTTCCTTTCTATTCTTTAATAGAAAGCCATACATCTACCAGAAAAAATTTAAATTGATGTGTAATTTTTCACAGATGTGTAATTTTTCAATGGAAAAATAAAGAAAACATTAATGTTGAAAGATTCGAAGCAGGTGAAAATTTAGTAGCAGTCTATTAAGGCGGCTGCAAGACTGATTTTTCCACTAATTTGGTGCGTTAAAGAAACTTGTGGATTGATATAAAACATTTTTTTATGGTATCATAGGCCAAGTTTTGTTCAAATTAGCCATCAAATTAATGGTTAATTAAATAGAAGAAGTCGATACTCCACCGATCATTTCGGATATGATGCAGAAATTCAATTTAAACTTTAGTGTTGGATGCATTGCATCTCTTTGCACGCGTGACAGAAGCGCCATCGATGCATTAGCTATTTTTACCAGTCTATTAGATATTCTGAACTTCTGAGCCACATATGGACACAGTCAATAAAAATAATATTCTGTATCTTCAACTTTATTTTTACTAATTAATTAATATATGGAATCACTTCATGCACAACTATCTTTCTTCTTTAAGCAATATTATTTTAGACATTTCTCTAGTTAAGATTTGAATATTGGTTCATCAAGAACTACATCTGTCTGTTCAACTCAACCCTTCTTAGTATCAAATACAATTTTTCATTCTTCATTCAATGTATGTAGAAACCTTTCCTCTGCATGTTATAAAAGAATTTAATTTAGCTATATTTTGTGGACATTTTTTATATTATCATTTCATTATATGTAATCAAATTATAAAAGAAAACTTAATTATAATAATTTTATAAAATTAATAATATAATATGATAGAGTTGGAGGAGAGTCCAATAAATCTCCTTCAGAGAATTATTCTTAAAGTTTTAGTTTTTAATTGAGTTAAATAATTGTTTTATCCATGTAGTGGTGAAATAAGACTTTGCCATTTTTTGTTGTATGATAGAAGTGTTAAATTATATATAGTAGACAAAATGTTATACTAATACCATTAACTTTATTGGGACCTAGTAGGGGACAAGGAGCACAGAATTAGCGCGATGGATGGAAAAAGACAAATGGTTCACCCTCTAGAAGGATTCCAATAACCCACTCAAAAAGAGTTGGATGAGGGTAAAAATGAGAGTTGAAATGATAAAAAGGTAAGTGCATAAACTAACTTATATAATTGGGTAGAATGTGCAAAAAAGTTAGTCAATTAGTTGCCAGAATTACTTGTCACATAACAATTTAGTTAGTAAAGGTTGGATGTAAGCAAAAGCACCATATTTAGTAAATGCCTAAGTTATGTTTCAAAATACATTTTTTTTTTTAAATCATATCTTAAAACACATTTTTTTATTAGTAACAAGCAGTATAACTTTATATATTATTTTAATTTTTTTTTTTTACATTTTACAATATAATAATATATCACTTTACTTTATTTTTTATACTTTTTTATCTTTATATAATAATATATTTTTTATTATTGTTTACTGTAATAATTATTAATTAATTATTAATAATAAAATTAATATCTTTAATTTTATTATTATCATTATATTTATTAAAATTATTATTATTATACTTATTATCAATTTAAATAAATAACAATAATAATTAAATAATAAATATACTACTAATAATAATATAATAACTAAATGTAATAATCATAAATATGAATCATAATAATAAAAATTATTAAATTTATTATAATAATAAAAAGTTATAATTGTAAAATAATAAAAAAATATAGTTATAATTATAATAATAAATAATCAAATTCATAATATTAATTATTATAATAACTATTTATTATTATAATTATTATTAATAATAGAAATTATAAATAATAATAATATTATTATAACAGTAATTAAATAAATAAAAATTAAAAACATATTATTATGTAAAAAATATTTATATAACAAAGAAAAATAAAATAAAGTAGTCGCATATTATTTCACTTAAGACAAAAAAATTTAGAAAATAAAAAATAAAATCATATTTAATTTTTTTTTTAAGTTGTATCTTGAAATGAGTTATTCATTTACTCTTACCTTCATAACCTTTTAAGATTTAAGACTAATGCATACATATATTAAAACATGACTGAACGCAAAACTACGTTTTCATGAATTAAAAATAAAAAATTACTTAAATGAATAACTTTTGCATGCAATTCCATTTACTAGCCTTCCCATTTATATATTATTCAAGTTCGTTATTTTTATTTAACGTAAAATTTTAATTTATAATTAAATTCTAATATAAACTACTATGAAGATATTAGTACCACTTTAATTGAATCAACTCTCAAGTTAGGCATAAATCAATAAAAAAAATACAAAGAAAAAACTTCATAATATTAAATTAAAAAAATAGTTATTAAAGGAATATTTTAACGATTTAAATAAATGACTCATAAAATTGAAATAATCAATCCTTCTTCCTACTATATGTGATGTCTTCATAAAAAAGAAGAAGAAGAAGTTTATATGTAATCTATTTTCCTCACATCTGATAAAAGAATTGTGGGGTGCTAACCTTTGTGGAGACAAGCAGTCTTAACACAGTATGTGATGCATGGTTTAATGTTTTATTAATTTTTGTGACACCTTATAGAGAAGTATACCAATAGTTTTAGTAACATAAAGACTAGACTGTCGGTCTTATACCAATAATTTTAGCGACAGAAGACTAGACGGTCGGGCATAAACACACCCTTGAGAAGGAAAGCCTGTGTTTTTGGAAAATATGACAAACGTATTAAAATTCTTGATAACAAAATAACCAAATGATTAATCTATGTTGTATAATAAATTTATTTTTTTATGCTTAGAAAACAATATTAGTTTAAAACTACTTTTCTCACATAAACACGTGTATTTTCATTTTATGACACTTTTTAAATTTTTTATAGCAAAAGTAATCATCGTGTTTTTCTCCTCATTCAATTACAAATTATAAGTAATTAATTTACTTAATTTATCAATGAATTTTCAAAATTTAATTATTAACCTAAAATAACTAATAGAAAAATCATATGCTCTTTCATTTATCTTCATTAAAACGAAAGCCGCACTCTTTTCTATTAGCATAAGGAAAACTATGAAGGAGGAAATATGCTAAAAGATGAGCCATTTTCAACATTTTTATTTTCCATTAAATACGTTTTAATGATACAATTAAATATATATGATAAAATTATCAATGTTTAATAATGTTTTAAAAAAGATATTTAGAATAATTTTAGGGAGTATAAAACTTAAAGTTTATTGTAATGTTTACAAATTTATAATTTTGTTATCTAAATGTCAAACTTTGTCAATATTATACATTTATCAATACATAAAATATTGTATATAATTTTTTTCGTGTGTTTTTATAAAATATATCTCAAAAACGGGTTTGCTTTATTTTCTAAGACATTTCCAATATATATATATATATATATATATATTCTAGTTGGTAGAAGTTTTCTAACAAAACAATTTGTTTTATTTTATTACCCATCCATCTCTCTCACCTGTACATGCATTTACTTACATGCTTATCCATGTTCCTTGCTTATTTATACAAAGAGTAACGATGCCTTTGGTTCAGAGATTGCAAAGGAAATAATACTACTTCTCTCAAAGCAAATCAAAATTTTCGTGTGTCAATTGAAATCATGGTTACCCCTGTCGTTCAGCGCATTTCAGAATGCTTCGTCAAACCACCTTATTTAAACCAAGTGTCAAACCAAATATGCAATTTAACACCTTGGGATATTACCATGTTATCTATGCACTATATCCAGAAGGGTCTAGTCTTCAAGAAGCCTGTAACCCTTGTTGATCAACATCATTTCATGCAAAATTTGTTGGAAAAGCTCAAACACTCACTTTCTCTCACCCTCTCCCATTTCTATCCATTAGCTGGCCACCTTGTCACCCACAAAACCCAAAACCCTCCTTCATATGCTATTTTCGTTGATTGCAACAACAGTGATGGAGCTAGATTCATTTATGCAACTCTGGATATGACCATAGCTGATATCCTCTCCCCAGTTGACGTCCCACCCATTGTTCACTCATTCTTTGACCACCACAGAGCAGTCAACTATGATGGTCACACCATGCCGTTGTTGTCCATCCAAGTCACTGAACTAGTTGATGGTGTTTTCATCGGTTGTTCCATGAATCACGCTGTCGGTGACGGCACTTCGTATTGGAATTTCTTCAATACATGGTCTCAGATCTTCCATGCTCAACCCCAAGCCAATGAATATGAGGTTCCCGTTCTACACCAACCTGTCCACAACCGCTGGTTTCCAAACGACTGCAGTCCACCAATCAATCTTCCTTTCAAACATCATCACGAGTTTATCAGCAGATTTGAAGCGCCCTTGCTGAGAGAGAGATTCTTTCACTTTTCAGCAGACTCTATAGCAAAACTAAAAGCAAGGGCAAACTCAGAGGCCAACAGTGATACCTCAAAAGTCTCTTCATTCCAGTCATTATCAGCACTTGTGTGGAGATCCATAACTCGTGCATGCTCTTTACCACATGGACAAAAAACAATTTGCAGGTTAGCTGCAAACAATCGATCAAGAATGGAACCGCCTCTGTCTCATGAGTACTTTGGAAACTCAATTCAAAAGCTGAGTGCAGAAACAACAGTAGGTGAATTACTTGAAAATGATCTAGGATGGGCTGCATGGAAGTTGCACCTGTCTGTTAAAAGGCACAATGACAAAGTGGTGTTGCAATCACTCAAAGAGTGGTTACAATCTCCGCTCATCTACCAACTTGGTCAGCCCATGAACCAGTACGTTGTGATGATAAGTAGCTCACCCAGGTTCAATATGTACGAGAATGAGTTTGGAATGGAAAAAGCAGTGGCAATTAGAAGTGGCTATGCCAACAAATTTGATGGGAAGGTGATATCATATCCAGGTCGTGAAGGAGGGGGCAGCATTGAGTTGGAAGTGTGCCTTTTACCACATATAATGTGCGCTCTGGAATCAGACGGGGAGTTTATGGATGCAGTTTCGGTTTCCAATCCCTTGTACTAGTTTGCTAATGTTCCCAGTGTTTGATAGTTGAACAAATCAAATATGATTATTTGTACGTCATTTTATGTTGAAATCTCTATGAGTGAAGACATGTCTTATACTAGTTTGCTAAGGTTTCCAGTGTTTGATAGTTGAACATGTCAATTGTTTGTATGTTATTTAATTTTGAAATCTCTGAGTGAAGTAATGTCCTATACTGGTTTGCTGATGTCTCCAGTGTTTGCTAGTCAAATATTACGTTTATGTCATTTTATGTTGAAAGCACTATATATCAGTGAAGTGATGCAAGCAATAATATTCTTGAAAGTAAGGTAGATGTAAATATTATGCGACTTTCTGAGTTAATAATTTGTTTGAATATAGATAAATCAAAAGTGATAATATAATCAAGAGAAAGAGATAAAGGGAAAGAGAAAAACACACAATGATTTATATTGGTTCGGGTATAGCCAACCCTATATCCAGTTTCCAGTCAACTCTTAACACAAGAGTGACTCCAAATTCACTATCTTTCAAATTCAGTCAACATCAACTCAACAGAAGAACCAGTAAAAAATAAACTAATTAAAAAGATAATCACCTCCTTAGAAACTCACTAAGGATGAACACCTCCCTAAAATCTCACTAGAGATAAACACCTCCTTTGAACAAATCAAATGATGAAAAATAGGGGTGTGAAAGTGAGTCAACCCGGCTCACACGGGTTGGCTCACCACGGGTTAAGCTGAAAATAGGTGAACTCAACCTGGTTCACTTTTTAGCGAGCCAGGAATTTTACAACCTGGCTCAACCCACCATGGGTTGGTGAGTTAGGTGGATTAGCTCACTAACCCATATTTTTTTTAATTTTTTAAATTATATAGAAACTTTGGATGTAGAAATTTATGCTTTCTTCCTTTCTTTCTCAACATCAAGTATCTTCGTTATCAACTCGAAATTGGCACATTGAGTTTTTCATTAATAATAAAATCATCACCAATGCAATTTACATTGACACTTTGATGTATTATTTTAGATTCCATACTGTAAATTAATTTAAAAGAAAGAAGTAAAAAATTCATATAATAAAGAGATATATGTATAAATCAATAACAAATAACAAATAATGTATAGATGCTACAATTTTCAAATAAAGATTCATCAATTTAATAGTTTAGGTTATGAAACAAATTCTTACCTTTGAAAGCAATACAATAGACATGGTGCAGTGGTGTGGTGGACAGATAAAAAGACAAGTGACCCAAGTGCAGCGGCAAACGTAGTGGTGCAGCGAATAACTGATAACAAGTTTAAGTGAGGGTTTGACTTGTGGCGACAACCAACTATGTAGGGTAGAGGTAACACAAGATAACATCAATTAGGGTTACTAAAGTATTATAATTATTTTTAAAATTTAAAATAAATGATTAATTAGGGTTAGTATATTGTTATAATTATTTTTAAAATTTAAAATTAATGGTGGGTTGCGGACCAACCCACCATAACCCGGCTCGAACCCGTTTAACTAGTAGGTTAAGTGAGCCGGGTTCATTTTTAGCCCATAATCGGTAGAAATGAAAAAATTGAACCCAACCCGGCTCGAACCCGTGGTGAGCTGGGTTGGCTCACGGGTTAGAACCCATATTGACACCTCTAATGAAAAACATCTCCTTAGAATCCCACTAAGGATGAACACCTCCGTAGAATCATACTAGGGATGAAAACCTCATTTGAACAAATCAAAGGATGAAAACACTTCCTTAAAATCTCACTAATGATGAACACCTCCACAGAATCACACCAGAGATGAAAACCTCATTTGAACAAATCAAAGGATGAAAACACCTCCTTAGAATCTCACTAAGGATGAACACCTCCCTAGAATCACACTAGGGATGAAAAACACCTTCTTTACCACCAATACATAAATGATGAATGCAATAATAGAAATAAAAACAGTCATACCTGGGTAATGGAGACAACAAATTGTAGAAGCCTGTAGAATGTCAATCTCCAAGAACAAGTGTGATTAACAATGAAAGCACAGAAGACAGTAGAGAAGAGAATTTTCTTAGAAGGTGTAAAATATCTCTGTTGTCTTGCTCATAATTCTTTTCTCAAAACTGATTGAATGTAAATTATATTTTTGAATTCCGTAATTGTGTATTTTTTATTTTTCATCAAAACTTAATTAAATAGAAAAATAACATCAAAAAATGACCGTTGAACATTAATATTTTTATGAATAAAAATCGGGATATATTTAAAAATATTTATTCTTCAAAACAAATATATTTTTCAAATTTGAATTGCCATAATTGATTATGTTACCAAGTATAATCAATTATGACAAAGAAAATCATTTTTCCATTTCGATGCATCACAATTGATTATGACGAGTGAAAAATATCATATTATGAATTTTATCACACTTGTGCTTTGGAGGCTGATGCATAATATTACTTCATCAACTTGTACCTCCATATCCAGTATTCTAAGACTCTATCTAGTCTTCAGGAATCATCTTAGGCTTGCTTGAATCATCATCTTTATCAACAACATATCTTGGGTATACAGGAAAATGTTTCACATTTTCACCAATGTCTTAAATTCAGCTTGGCCTTAATTCATCTTGAATGGTGTTGACTTGAATGTAGTTAACTTGAATCATCATCAAAATCATCTCTTAGAAATGTAAGGACATTTTCATCAATCTCCCCCTCATTGCTTTTAAAAGTTAACAGTAATTTCTTTAATTACCTGTTTTTACGTAAATATTTAGTTTTTACGATTTAAATTACATATAGTTGAACATTTTTTATGTTTCAGTTCTACATTAAAAAGGTTTTAGTTTGTATACAAGCAAATATATATATATATATATATATATATATATATATATATATATATATATATATATATATATATATATTATCTCTTATTGTCCCTTCCTTCTCTTTCTTTTACTCTTCTTGTTTTCCTGGTCAACACCTCTCCCTTCTATGTAATTCCCATTACTTTTAAACACTTTTATATATAAACTAATTTTCATTAACCGTAAATAAAAAAGTTTTGAGGTTGTCAAGTCATTTTTCCATGACAAAAACTTGTTAGATTGTTGTAATATTTTTGTTTTAAACATTTGAAAACATTTAATACATTTTTACATCACGTAAATGCTCTTGCCACGTTGCCACCAAAAGTCGTTTCTAGCAAAGCAATGATGCATGATGGAAGCATTTTTCATTTTCAAAACTTTGGCAATTTAACAACTGTAAAAAAGAATTCAGAGTTTTAGTCCACCGGTTTCATTTTTGTGACATTGTTAGAGAATTTAGAGGGGTCGGACTTACATGACATAAATATTGAATTGTTTGATCAGTGGTTGACAAACTATATGATTGTGTTTTCTTTTTTCTAAAATCATTTTTTATTTTATTATTCTTTGTTTTTCATAAAATTATAATTGATTATATTTTTAATAAGATGACTCCATTAATATATCAATTATATTGAATTGAGTAAAATTGATTTAAAAATTATAACCATTTTATTTCACATGACACTCTAAATTTAGTTCATCTCTAATAAGAAAATCTTACATAATTTATTTCTTATGTTGAAAAATAATAAATAAGAATTCATGATGCTACATAATTAAGTAATTCACGTTGATTTTATTTTATTAGAAGTTTTTTTAATAAATTTTAAAAAATTTATTATTTCTCCTTATTTATTTTGATTTGCTCCTTTGATGAAACAATTATATATTAAAAAATATTTAACTACTTATCATATCATATATTATTTATCTAATGAAAAATTATTTTAAGTAATTAATATTTTATTTAAGCATCTAAATAAATAACTCTTTTTAGAGATACTCTTAATGCATGAGATTATGTATTTTGAGTTCTTGTTAATAATTATTTGCTTTATTTATATATATATATATATATATATATATATATATATATATATTCACTACAAAAAAAACTGTATTATTTATTGTAAAAATCTATAGGTAATATTATTTTACCTACGGATTTCCTACGGGAAAAAATCCATAGGCAATATGGTCATAGGTAATTTATTTATGAAATTACTGTTGTTAGGTAATACCGATCCATGGATAATTACCTACGGATTGTGTCCGTAGGTAATTATCCATAGACACAATTTGTAGGTAATAATTCGTAAGTAATTATCCATGGATACAATCCAGTAGGTAACACACATGTTCAAATTTACCTACAAACTAGAATCCTTAGGTAAATCATTAGGTAAATTTAAAAAATTTGACCTATCATCTACTGATTTAACTAAATTTTACCTGTTACAAGCATATTACGCACAAAGTATTTAGATATCAAATTTAACAATAATATTCTATAATATTGATATGCACCAAGTGCATATTTAGATATCAAACACAAATCCTAATATTTGCATGCATCAAATAGTCATTCAAATATCTCGGAACATATAAATCTAAAAAAATACTATAATATTATGACAATATTGTTTAAGTGTCTTAATAATTTGAGTAATATCCTTGTTCATTTTCAGGCTGCTTTGCGGAAGCTGGTTGTTGTTGATGTTGCTCTTGTTGTTGTTGTTGCTCTTGTTGTTGTTGTGATCCTTGTTGGAAATTTTGTTATAGCTAAAATGCTTGTCGGGCATTAGGTGTAAGAAAATGAAGAACAACACTGACAAGTAGTTTGTAATTGGTGACTCAATATCTCTCTAATATTCAAAATATTCATTTTCAATATGAATGAAAATATTATATACGTTAAAAAGTTAAATTATTTTATATAATATCTCTCTAATAACTACATTAACATAAAATTAAAACATTTAAATATAAATAAAATATTTATACTCTATCATTAAAAAAAATATAAGAAATCATACACAATATCAAAAAGAAAAAAATAATAAATTTTTTTTTACATTATATATAAATAAATAAATATTATAAATTACTAATTATAGTACTATTTCCTCTATTTTAATATATATGTAAAATGTATATAATCATATATAATAAAATAATTGAATATATATATATATATATATATATATATATATATATATATATATACATACATAATTGTTATAACTTAATAGTGGAAGAAATATATTCATTTCAGTAATAAGGTTAATTCTTATACTTAATAGACATTTGTGTGTGATAAGGTTAATTCTTATAACTCAATAAATATAATTTTGTTTGACAGTTGTAGGAATTTTTCACAACTTTTATTACATAATATATCCATCTAAGCGAGTATGGTATTAATAGACTTAAAATATCTCAAAAAAAAAAAAAAAAACTCAAATCAATACAAAATCTACACTTTATCAACATGTCCTCCTTAGTTTCACAGCTTGAGCACATTTCATATTACAAAATATACATCATATATTTTCAAATTGACAAATCTCATCAATAATTTGTATCATTTCACATATCGCATTTATCTTCTTTATATATATAATTATGGGAGATAATAATGACATAGCATTTTTCTGGTTTACAAGGCTGGTCACTCAAGCAATACAGGAGACTCCATATTGAGATCATTATTTCAGTTTCATTTCCGCTTGAGCAATGAGTGATTACTTCAATGTGGTTACTTAAATGAGTTATACACAACAAAAACTATATAAATCTGACTCTATTAGCTAACTTGGTAAAAAAGAATCCTATCAAAACCAGACATTCCTATTCAGCCCCGACAATCATAATCTGAAATCGAATGTCCTTCATTAGGCTCCAACACACCTGATCCGAACCAAAACCCGAAACTTATTCACACGGTAAAAAGCCTCAAGCCATAAGAACTGGGACAACATCAAACCAGTCTTAAGACCTAAACAACATCTATCCAAACCAACGTAACTAGTAGAACCAACCTGCAGAATGGTGAAGCCAAACCAAACACAATGAACAAATTCTGGTGGCGCGGTGACCTGGAAGTGGTGGTGTTCAGAGACGTGTGGTGGTTGGCGAGGCTAAGACCCGTGGTGGCTGGCGGATTCAGAGCAGGGGGAGTGGAGGCGCGGAGGGGCTAGGGCCATGGCATCGGATCTAGGTTTGAGGATGAAGAAGGTCGCGGGGCGCGACCGAAGCCATGGGTGGTTCGCGGTGGTTCCGGTAAAGGTGTCAGAGTGAGGAACGCGGGACGAGCATGAAGAAGGCACGATGGTTCCACAGTGGAGCTCGCGACAACCACTATCGGGGGCGCGTTGGCCACCGGTGTTAGTTGGAGGTTCGCCTAGGCTCCTGGTGGCTTCTATTTTTCGGCGTGATGGGGGAAAATAAGTGGCTAGGGTTTTGGTGAAGGAGGCGGGTCGCGATTAGTGGTGCTGCGAATGAGGTGCACGGGCTAGGGCACAAGGTGGAGGTTCCAGGGTGGCTCTCGAGGTGGCCACGCGGTGTCCGCTTGGGGAAGATGAAACCGCAGTTTGAGCTGGAGAATGGCTTGCGGTGGTGGCTAGAGGTATGGTACACAGTGAAGGGTGCGGAGTTGGGTGGCTGGGCTGGGCTGGCTAGGGGGTGATTTAGGGCGACTGCGGGTGATGAATGTGCGTTAAAGAAGGAAGAAAGGGCGCGGGTAAGGGTGAGTGAAGAAGAAAGGGGAAAACATTTTTTTGTTGTTGTTGTTGTTTTTTTTTTTTTTTTTTTAATTACACGTACAGGAAAAAGTAGTAAATAAGCATTAGTTACTTCTTATATAATTATCTTATCTATAGGTAAATTCCGTATAAATTTTTATCCCTAATATTTTGTAAATAATATCTGTTTTTTTTAGGATTAGCATTAATTGTAAGATTTTCTTATATTATATTGAAAAAAGTTATTTTTAACTTACATATAATATAAAAAGAAAATACATATGTAATTTTCTTATTTCTTTTAGTTAAAATTATACTCAGATTGTTAACAAAATATTTATTAAGCTCACTTTTTATATAAATATTTATTCCATACAAATATTTATTAAGCTCACTTTTTATACATATGTATTTTCCTCTTATGACACTTTCTGTGTGTATTTTTTTCTCACCTATTTCTCTCTTGATTAGTTATTCAATCACAAAATATTTGTAATTAATTTCCTTAACTTATCAATTATTTTTCAAATTCTAATTAATAAATTAAAATTAATAATAGAAAATATCAAATGCTCTTTGATTTATCTTCATTGAAACGAAAATCCCTTTTAATTATTTTATTAACAAAAACCAAACTTTAAAGGAGGAAAATGCTAAAAGATGGCCATCTTTCCGAGCATTCGAGGAATCTATGCTATTTTCAATTTTTTTTTCATTTGATGATTTTATTTAATAATATAAGTAAATTGAATAATATATGGGATAAAGCTACTCATATTTGAAGTTTCATCTTATTATATGAAATATAAATTTAAAAGATAAAACTTTTGGTGAATCCAAACTGTACCTATAATATAGTACGTACCTACCATCAGTTTTGTCCTTTAAACTAAAAATCGCATTTGCTTTATTTCCTAAAACAATCATATTTCACAATGATAATACTTAGAGTTAACAATATGGAATTCGAGGTATATATGGTGTTTAGGGAAAAAGCAGCATTTCACTGTATAATATCTCCCCTTTATTACAATGTTTATATTCTTTATATGCATTAATGATTTTTCAAATGATTAAAATCAACAAGGAGAGATTGATAACAATGTGAAATATGTCCCTAGATTCTCAAGAGATGATTGTGATGATGATTCAAGTCAACAACATTCAACATCAAGCAAGTCCAAAATGATTTTTAAAGACTAGATAGAGTATTAGAATACTGGATATGGAGGTACAAGTTGATAAATTAATATTATATATAAGTCTCCAAAACACAAGTGTGATAAAATTTCGTAACATGATATTTTTCACTGTCATAATCAATTATAATGCATCGAAATGGAAAAACCATTTTCTCTGTCATAATTGATTATACTGGTAACATAATCAATTATGACAATTCAAATTTGAAAAATATCAATTTTGAAGAATAAATATTTTTAAATACATCCTGATTTTTTTTTTCTACGAAAGTATTAATGACCAACGAATATTTTCTGATGTTATTTTCCTATTTAAATGAGTTTTCACAAAAAATCAAAGACACATAATTACAGAATTCGAAAATACAATTTACATTCAATCAGTTTTGAGAAAAGAATTCTGAGCAAGGTAACAAAGATATTTTACATATTTTAAGAAAATCATCTTCTCCATTGCCACAAAGATATTTTACCAAAACCCTCTTCTCCATTGTCTACTGTGCTTTCATTGTTAATCACACTTATTCTTGGAGATTGACATTCTACAAGCTTCTACAATTTGTTGTCTCTATTATCCAGGTGTGCTTGTTCTTATTTTACTACCTTTATCCTTTGTGGACTTAAGTGATTGATTGTTAAATTCCCTGTTTAGGGTTTAAGTAGTTACTATCATTCTGTTGTGTTTTTTTTTTTGTTTCCTGTGTGGAAACTGTTCATCCCTTTGATTTGTTCAGGGAGGTGTTGTCGCCGCCATCAAAAGAGGCGATCGGAACGACGCGATGATTTTGATTGACTCGCGTTTTTTATAAAGATGGTCGACATTCTTAAGATGTCCGATAACCGAACTGATCTTAAGGATAAAGTTTTCGAAAAAGGTTCTATGGAGTCGCCACCAATGTTTTTAACCTTAAACTAAACACTAAAAAAGGTAAAAAAAAAGCATTGGTTTTAGAAAAAACTAACTTTGGCCATTACAACCAGAGTCGGGTAAGGGAGTTAGTTACGTGTGGGGAAGGTGTTAGCACTCCACAATGCCCCTTTCAGGTTCCCTATGATGGACTAGTTTATAAAATAAATATTAAAAAAAATTATGTTTTTACCCTATTATTTATCTACTTGCAGAATTTAAATGTCTACATGACCCTAATATCTAATGCATACAAGGAAAACGATAAAGTAAGCAGTAAAAGAGAGAGAGAATAGGGAAGGAATATTTGAAGCGAGCTTTATATTAACTCTTCGAAACTTGATGACGCTTTTTGACAGTCTCCGCACTCTACAGGCACACTCTTTCCGCAAAAGAGAAAATTTCATTCTACCGAGGACCGATGTCTCCAAGAGAGACTTCCTTAACCGATTTCTACCTTAACGGAAATTGGAAAACTCACTCAAACTCTGGAATAATGCTCAGAGTCACTCTAAAGTGCCAAAAGGCTTCCTAAAGAGTGGTAGGAGTGAATAGTGGTGAGAAAAAATGAGAAATGTGGCTCCTATTTATAGGGAACCGTGCCAGAAAAAGTGGACGACCGTCTAGGCTTAGTGGACGGTCGTCCATGACAAAAAGTGAGCATGTACGAACGTCTATGTAAAGTGAACGACCATCCATGGCTAAAAGTTTCCATGGACGACCGTCTGGGTCAAGTGGACGACCGTCCATTGCCTTAAAGTAGGCATGGACGGTCGTCTCTGTTGTTCCCGACGAAATTTCCGATTTTATTGCCTTTGAAAACCTTTCCTATCTTAAATGGAACCTAGAAAAAGCTACTAGGGACTTAACAAAGTCTTGACCATCTTCAAAACGGGTGATTTCTGACTTTATTAGGAAGCCAGACAAGATTTGGGGTCTATAGGTGTTTTCATCCTTTGATTTTTTCAGAGGAGGTGTTCATCCCTAGTGGGATTCTAGGGTGGTGTTCATCCTTAGTGGGATTCTAAGGAGGTGTGTTCATCATTTGATTTGTTCAGAGGAGGTGTTCATCCTTAGTGAGTTTCTAAGGAGGTGATTGTCTTTTGAATTAGTTTGCTTTTTGCTTAGTTAATTGTAATTTGTGAACTGAAAAGATAGTGAATTTGGGTCACTCTTGTGTTAAGAGTTGACTGGGAACTGGATGTAGGGTTAACTATATCCGAACCAGTATAAACCACTGTGTACTCTTCTCTTTCCCTTATCTCTTTTTCACTGCATTACTCTCTTTACGTCCCTTATTTTTATCTTTATCTTTCTCTATCTTGTTAATATATTATCTTTTTGATTATATTGCTTCCGCTTTATCTTTGTTCAATTTGATAATTAAAATTGAATTAATAAATATTAGATATCTTAAAATAAATTTTTAATTTGGCATTTATTTAATTTGTGTATCTATTCACCCTCTCTAGATGTCATTTGTCTAACAATGTTAACCACATAAAAAGCTTTAACAAAAATAATTTCATAATAAACAAAATAACAATTTAGTAAACCATAACACTCTCTTGGTGCACACAATCGTCCATGGCCTCATCATATTTCTTTGAGCCTCACACTAACAATTGGGTTGTTATCTTCAATTGACCCATTCTCCTCTAGAGTGCATGTTGTATCATTTCTCGCGTCCAGACAAAAGAACCTTGTCCTCAAGGTTGAAAGTTCGTTGAATATCAACCAAGGTTCCCAAGTAGCTTCCTCAGGAGAGATTCCTTACCATTGCACCAGAACTTCCAGTTGTGAAGAATCACCGGAAGTGTTCTCAGGAGTGCCTAAGATGACTAATGGACTAAGTAAGGATCCATTGTTATAAATGTCCAACAATAGTGTGCTGCTTCCAGAGGAGGAGGACCAATATGTGGTTTCAAAATAGAACAATGAAATACAAGGTGGATTTTTGAAGTATCACGGAGAGTCAAGCTAAGCCACTTGGTTAATCCGATTGAGAACTTGAAATGGACCAAAATAGTGCTTCGCAAGTTTCTATTAGGTCTTACCGGTAATTGAAGTTTGGCAATACAAAATTCCTATCTCCTTTTTCACATATTCATTTTGACGTTTGAGGATCGAGTTTTGTTTCCTTCTTTTATTAATGAATTTTCTAAATGTACTTGAGTTTATTTAATGAAAGACCGATTTGAATTTTTATCCATTTTAATGTCCTTTTTCAATGAAATTAAAAATCAATTTGGGAAGTGATAATGCCAAAAAATATTTATCTACCTCATTCTCTTCTTTTTTATCTTCCCAATGAATTTTACATCAATCAACTTGTCATCACACCCCACAATAAAATTTCATCGCAAAAAAGAAAAATAGACACCTTATTAAGACTACACGCTCTCTAATATTGAATACTAATGTCTCTATTCATTATTGGGGAGATGCAGTTCTCACTGCTTGTTTTTTATTAATCGGATGTCATCTTCCTCTCTTAAAAATCAAATCCCACATTGTCTTATATTTCCAGATGATCCTCTTTTCCATGATCTCCTTGTGTATTTGGTTGTACTTGTTTTGTTCATAATGTATCTTCAGATCTTGAAAAACTAAGTGCTAAGGCCATTAAATATGTTTTCTTGGGGTACTCTCACCTTCAGAAAGGGTATAAATGTTATTCTCCATTTTTCAAAAGGTATTATATGTCTGTTGATGTCACCTTCTTTGAGGAAACACTCTTCTTTTCTTCCCCCATAGAAGATGGTTCATCAATTCAGCAAGTTCTGCCTATACCTTCATGTGATCCACTTATAATACCTGATCCTTCCCTAATTCA